TATATTTTTTTTTTTTATTTATTATAAAAGCCTGGGACTTACCTGAGTCAATATGTAACTTCTCTGGGCTTCCTCCATGACCACCAGACTTGCATTGATGTAGTCGTTGTCCGTGCCCTCCAGCTTCACCCGGCTGTGATCGACTGCAGGCAGCAATGAGAGGAAAATGATGCATTCATTATTATAAGATTGGCTGTAAATTGACCAAACACTGTCAAAAGGAGGTTTAGCAGAAAAACATCACACTGTGAACAAGTTTCCATAAAAAGTGTACCTACATGGACTGACATCTCTGTATCTGTTTCGGTTGCGATTCTCTGGACACTTTGCCACTTTGTAGGAGCACTCGTGGGACTGATTCCTTATTTCCTGGAGACAACAGTGAGATTGTTTATAGGCAAGAATAGCATTAAACTAGCGTTAGATATGAGCAAGCAGGAACCCAGTAACAACCTAGCTGATGTCAAATAATCACAGACAAACGATACATAAGTTACTTTCAGCACTGACCCAATACGATTCTACTAATAAGAGTGGAGTATAAAGTCTCTATATTATGTAGATGTTAGCTGATCATAGTGAGCAACAACCACATGCACCATAACACCGACTAAACTAACGGTAACATTCACGTTACCGTATTTAATTAGTTGTTGCAGACACGCTGAAAATAAATAGAACCGGCAGAAAACTAAGAGATGAAGGAAACTGTCGATACATGACAGGTTAGATATCGGATAGTTGATGAGCTAGCCTGTTAGCTTGCTAGATTAATGCGCGCTTGAGGTACTATCTGTGTTAGCTTCGTGCTAGCTATGCTAACAGACTTACTAGGTAGAGTTTTTGAAACCGGCCCTCTGAATCTATGTCCTGGTCCATTTTCACCGTGGTAGTGCCAGTCTGTTGTAATCAAGGTACGTATACTTAGCTGTCCGACTATCTACCTCATTACTTTGTACAGGCTGGAGGAGCTTTTTTTGTCGAAAGGACTAATAACTTCCCTAAGCTAACGAGCTCTCGCTAGTGTTTGTCTAAACGCTGTGGTGTTTGTCCGTTATCTCGCTGGTGCAGTTGACATCTGAATGAGCGACGTGTGCGCATGCGCCACAAAGAGGTCCTCCGGTGGCTGTCAAAAACAAACACAGCAAAGATATTCACTGAGCACGAGATGTCCAACAACCATCACCAACTGTCTAAAGCACCTCTGTGAGGAATACAAAATATTATAATTTCGCCACATAAATCTGTAGATTATTTTTGTTATATTACAAAAATACGTGTTTATAAACGTATTTTTTTGCGAGAAAGTTATTGTGTATTAATACATTTGATAGCTATGTTGTGTAACTGTTAGAGCTATAGTTGTTCAATTTAATGATAAGTGATCAAAAAAAATCCATTAAGAATGTAATTATTCTTATTTTTGTTAATTAATTCATCATTTGGCCCATAAATATCTGAAAATAACTGATTGGATGGTGAACATGTTTGAACATGTCTGAAACATAAAGACACCTACAGTGATGTGATGATCCCCATGAGACTGGTGATCAGCATGCAACAACCTTGTACGGACCAGCATTGTTGAAAACCCTTACATTAGATTCAAGAAATGTGACATACATTATGTTGAATTACATGGAAGTGATTCAGAAGCCATCTAGATTATTACATTTCATAATCATGTGGCCATAAAAATGCAATTCATGGCAAATGTGACACAAGATACATTACGTGTGATATAGCTACAGTGATGAATACTGCTTACATACATGTAACATGTCAAAGTCTCTGAGGGGGGGAATTGAGAACCTTATGGCCGGCTTTATCAGAGTTTACAGTGAGAACAAATTACACAAGATAGAAAAAGTTGAACACAATGTTCTCTTTCAAACTACTGACAAATATTAGGAAGCCCTGAGGAAATGTGACAAACATTTAAAAACACACAAGTATCTGCAGGCGAGCAATGTGACATTACAAAAAGCAGAAAACAGTTTGTGACTGTATGTGTTTTGGGTCCTTGTTGGGAACATGCTTCCATTTGGGGGCAAAAAAGCTGTTCCCCATCAGTTAAACAATTATATATTATGGTTAAGAAGTGGTTATTGGTATACAGGAATACCTAAGTGACAAAAGCATGTAGAGAGTGTATGTGTGTGTGTGTGTGTGTGTGTGTGTGTGTGTGTGTGTGTTTGTGTGTGTGTGTGTGTGTGTTTGTGTGCGTGCACATGTAGTATAATGTCTCTACGAGATGGCAGGATCATAATTCATGATGGAAGTACAATAAAACTACTCTTGAGTGGCCACAGGATAGCAGTATTTCCACTGCTAGATAAACAAGGGCTGGAACTGGTATATGTAACTAATATCACGAAAAAATAATTTAGATAACAGAAAATGAAGCGCAGTCATATTAAGATTATTTTCTTTTGACATGTCAGCAGAAAGCAGACTGTGAGACAACAGTGGGGGGAAAAATATATATATATTTTGACTTCAACAAACAGCTTAACAGCAAGTTCAAATGGGCCAAGAATTAAATTCCGATGATACAATTCATGAACTGATTTCAACCTCTTCTGGTTTCTTTGTTTACTGCTGGAGGGCAACTAGAATCCTTGCTGCTGTCACCTATTGGTCTGGTATGTACAAAATGCTGTTAAACATCTGTCTGAGCTTCTCTGGCAAAGTGTCAAGTCAACAGCTGCTATCAGGAAAAGTTGTTCGGATTGAACAATGTGGTTCACCAATTAGAGCACAAACATATCATCTTGGGGAAAATGTATGTTATTTTATACTGATAATCCACCACGTTTCAGTTAGCATTAATAAAGCAGCCAGCAAACAACTATGTGCCATGTAAATGTAGAGGAGTAATGGCTACCTGAGCAGAGAATGAAGGCGCAGCACAAGACATTCGAAATAATGGGTTTCAGAGCACAAAGTGTTGTGGCTTTCTTTCTGAAAGGGCCTTTAAATGCTGACCCCCGGCTCCATGTTGAGAGCTGTGTGGAGGCAATGTATATTGGATTCAGTATGCAGCAACTTTAAGAACACTTTCAAATTACTTCTACTAGTAATGGAGTATTTTTTTGTGTTTTAGTAAAGAATGTGAGTACTTCTTCCGCTGTTGGCAATCTATCTGTTGGAAACGGATGGATTCATTTTATTGTGAAAGGTGGACACCTCTGACCGGAAGTACCGATGTTGTCTGTAGCCCACTGGCTTGACAACCATACCATTTGGGGAATGTATCTAGGCTGTCCGGCGAAGTTTTCTGCAACAAATGTGCGGCTTTACTGGGAGATGGAGACACCAGTGTTCACGTCTGTTGTGAATTAAAAAGGAGATCCGGTGTAAACTGAACGGTAAGTGTGTGTGGGAATAGTCTTTATAATGTGGTAAATATTACACAGATCACAACTTCCTCCTCTGCGAGGCTCACGAGCAGCTAACCGTTAGCAGTTATTAGCTCTGTTAGCTTGTGTATATACTCCTCGTTATACACTCTAGGGGGGCACAAAGCCTTCAGCTGGCACCAGATTAAGTTGTGTGGTCGTTCAGCTTGCTTCCTTATATAAACCATGTGGTCAGCTGTCCGTTGAGTTAGCAAACATCACAGCTCAGCTTTAGTCATAAACTCTCTGGGCAGATTAAAGTTAGACAGTATCTTTCCTACTAGACGTCGTTAGCTAGCATGCTAACGTTAGCCTGGTGGAAAGTGTAAACAGAATGAGGTCCTTCCTGTGCCGAGCTTCAGATGACTGATATCTGGACTTTTTTCGTTTCTTGTGGGTTATTTTATCGTTTCCACTATTGTTTTTGTCAAACAGAGCATTCCTAGTAAATGTACTTGGGTTTTTTAATGCAAAATTACATTATCCTGTATTTATTTGTAGAGTCAGCTGACTGTGGTATCGACATGCTTCATAATATCAGATTTAGGGTTTTTAACAAATGGTTTTATATGTTTTAAGCTCCTATAATCGACTCAATTGTAGTGTATCATTTGATGCCCTATTTTGCTAATTTCATTATTTTTGTTCCACATTTCTACAGCATTTGGTCTTCTTGTAAAGTAATTTAGTGTGATTTGTCCCATCTAGGCGCCCTTCAGTGAATGGAAATAATATCCTTCAATGTTTTTCTGTCATCGACCCGTTATAGCACAGTCAACAGTGTTTTGCGGAACAGATGCATTTTAAATTACTGGGCACAGTCCTTTATTTATTGTGTTACTTTTATAGCACGCCTGCTAAATTAATTCAGGTCGTCCTCACTGGAAGGTTTCGATCAGTGAGTCATAGTGCTTTGCTTTCTCCTAATGGCTCGTTACTTTTAACTTATGAATGTAAACTGAATGAGATGATTTGTGCGTCTGAGTTTTGGTAACATGTTGGGACGCTCGTGTATGTTGAAGTTGCATTACCTCAAACTCATCTCATGCCATGATTCAGTTACATCTCACCACAAGTGATTTTAAATTTTAATGACAGACAGTACATTATCAAACTAACACTGTTTTGTTCCCAGCTTTATACACAAATATTGAAATTGTATGGCCATTTTTAAGCAAATTCAAACATCTTCTATATCCTAAAGCTTATATTTTTTATTTTACATAACACAACGGAGTAAACTTGTGCTGAAGGAAGCTACTCTTGTGTTTTTTGTCACTTCTTGACACGAGGGCGTGCACCATCACCCCTAAATTATTATAATAATAATAATAATAATAATAATCGGGGCAAGAATTCTCCAGTCTGAACTAGTTTTAGGTTACCGTACCTAAATGTCAGTTTTGCAGTGGACAACATTATGATCATACTCAAATATTTGTTAAATATTGTTGAATATTTGTCCTGTTTATTATTTTCAGAACAAAAAATAGTATTTAAATGTGAGAAATGTTTGTTTTTAAGCATGTTCCTTAGAAAGACCCCCTGTCTGATACTGCTGGTAGATATGCTGTTTGATATTCCTTTTTAATTTCATTATATATAGCCAATCAAAAACATTTAATTTTAAGATTAAGTTGTATAATCAAGCGATCATACCCCTTCAATCATTGGGGTGAGCGCTACACTGACAGAGAGACAGCAACCTGTGACACATGATCCATCACCAATGGGCTGTGAATCGAAAGAAAACGTTTTGCTTTTTCTGCAATAGTACGTTCTGCAAACATTGACTCTTGTCTTGACTTTTCCTTCTGGCTCGATGAACGAGCGAGCAAACATTCGTGCACCAGGGACGGAAGCGAACGCGTTGACATCATTTTAGACTGCGTGCGATGGCTGTTCTGGTTTCCTTTTTGGCCTTTTGTGTGTTCTGTAGCTTGGGACCAACACAAAGAAGTGTTATCACCGTCTGTGGTTATCTTGGTATTCCTGTTAATCTCGGAGTAATTGCAAAGAATGTACGACCATCTGGATGCAGATAAAACAAAGTCTCCCAGTGGAGATTGTAATCAAAGTGTCAAGAGTATGTCTATAGATAATAAATGTCTGAAAACATTTAGTTTGTTAGACCCTGTTTTAGTCCTCTGCTTATTCCAGGATGTTCGTCGGTTAGATATGCAATGTAACAATAACTGTAATTTGTTTTATTTTTTTATCAGAAAATAGAGCAGTATTTGATAATATAATGATATATTTATTGACACACACTAATGTTTGTACATTACTGATTGCTACTGCGGTAAAAGTTGTCATTGAAATGAATGTGCAGCAAAGTTTAGACTCCTAGAATACATCCGTGATGTGACTCTCCTCCTTTATCCTCCTCGTCAGAACCCCACTGGGCTGCATAGATGTCTCTCTATTCAGCAGACAAATGGTAGCCCCCCCTTCTGTAGCTGGGCCAAACACAAGCCAGCTTCATTTGTCTCCATGGTGCTGAATGGAGAAATGGCAAAATAAATAAACAATTTTTTTGTACTGTTGAGGATTTTGCCTCCTAATCATTGCATCTTCAGCTGCGTCTTTAGATTCACGGGCTCCTCACAGTGAACCAGATGCAGTGGAAAAGTACTTTACCCTGTTGGCTAAATCACACTGTTTTGTAAATAGTGCTGGAAGTAGCCTCGGAGGCGCTCACTCTCTGTTGAACGTCATACGTTATACTTTGGTATACAGATAATAGGCTAAATAGAGGTTCATTAAGCTATACTGGGTTATTCCGAAAGTTGACCCACAGCGGATTAATGCTTTGCAGTCTAACAATAACTTTTCCCAGTATTAATTTGCTTCAGACGGATGGCTGGTGCGGTAGACAACTGTTTAAAAAAAAAAAAAAAAAGCTGAAATATTCCCTCTGTAAACAAATACAAAAAGAGTAGCTTTCACTGAGTTTGTCACCCAGTCTCTGGGCTGTTACTTTGTCCCAAGCCGCAATAACTGAATGCATTGTCACGATCAGGAAGTCTGTCCTCCAGCTGGAATGTCACCGGAAATTAGCGTACATGACGAACACTTTGCAGAGGAACACTTTGAGCCTCTCGTTTCCAGCGATGGAAGCTGATCGTTGTACGTGGGACGTTTGTGAAGGCGGGCACTGGCCGCCGAACCCACAAAATCCCAGGAAGTTGACATCATCTATCCCCAGATTTGGATTGCAGCATTGAGAAACACTGCAGGGATTCCTTCTAAATACACTCCATTTGACCTAAAACCAAACGATGTGCACCTCCGGAAATTGCGGCATCGTCAGCAATGTGATAAACTGGAGGTGGCTCAACTACAGCTTTGTCAAAAATAGGAGACGTGGATTTGTAAAGACACAAAATCAAATTCAATGCTCAGGAAATATCAGAGCGGGGTGACGGTTGTGTCTGTTTGAACTACAGGACTCTGCTGACGTTTGTCTGCATTCCAGGGCAATTTTATTTTGATGCATGTTCATTATAAAGGGTGTTGTAAGCTGAGAGTTCAAACTAGCCCACTGACAAATATAGTTTGTGTGTTATATGTTAATGTAAAATACTTCACTTTGGCTTATATGTCGTTATACTGTCGTACTGTATCTGTATGACTGTAATCCTTAATGGTTCGAGGATGCATTTTCTCTCCAGCACTGGGCTACGTGTTTGGTATTGAATAGTTCCAGAATGGCATCTGTAGTTGGGACTTTGCTGTTGCTTCGTTTTCTTATCGCTCTCGTGTTTACTTTGGAAGTAGAAGACGTGCTGTGGAACATTGTTGATGTTAATAATACTCTTTGTGACAGAGTCGTATTCTGTCTGTAGCATAAATAATGGTGTTCAAAAATACAAGACAGTGAGCGATACAGACCTGTATAATAAAACATTGCAGGCTGCTTGTGTACCTAATTGTCTCTGTAAAATTACAGCCGATGGAAACCTGGATTGATTTTGTTTACTGCGACGCAAGAGCCAACGTTATTGCTTCGTGGTCTACCACTGCGGGCCCCAAATGACACATTTTGAAACAAAATATATTGTGATTCAGTAACCTTACAATGACCCATCTATCCAGGAGGAAACTGCAAATGTAGATCATACTACAGTGGTTGTTACGCTGTAGCATCAGCTGATGCAAACTCAGTGAAGGTGGAAACCGTTGGTTCTGCCGCAGCAGGCTTCTCCCCCCCCTGGGGTTCTCTCAGGAACTGGGACACCATCCCTGTGTGTGTGTGTGTGTGTGTGTGTGTGTGAGTGTGAGTGTGAGTGTGAGTGAGAGCCGCGGTAGCATGTGATATGTGATTGGCCTTGAGCCACAGGACTTGAACACATGCATGTGCACGAACACAAATGCACGACCGCAGTCGCACGGAAAGTCCCACTCACTCTGTGTACAGTGCAGCGGCAGGCTTTTCCAGTTTAATTACGCCTTGGGAGCGTAATTTCACATTGAGTTGCGGGTTGGCTTGAAATTGCTTCTCTGTCTCGTTAAAGTTTTCCTCTTGCTCACATGACTTGGCTAGTTGATCATCGGGCTTTGTTATGATGTGGAATTATTGTGTCAGGACTTAGGTTAAGATATCTGGTCGCTAACATAATCATTAGAAAAGCTAAAAGTTATTGATCCAAGACAAAGTTCACAAAAGTGTTTTAGAGGCTACACTAGTGTGCCATGTCTCCAAATTCAGTTGTATGTCTTTGGAGTGGGTGGCATCATTTTGTGCCCTTATTTTTTCGAGGGATATCCATTTCGTGACACGCCTCAAGGAAGTTGCACCGACAAACTGTCTGATGTGTCGTCTCACGTCACCTCATGTCGCTTTACCCACTGGTGTTTCGTGTAGCTTGAATTACAGATGTCATACGCAGGCTTTGGGTTTTGATTGTGACTCTTAAATGATCAGATCAAGCAATTAAAACACTTTATTCTTTACAGCATGGCTGCCGTGTTAATGGCTTAATGACTCACAGTTAAATATTTGGTAACTATGCTTTGAAGTTACTTCTACGTTGTTATCAGATAAACGTGGCTGCTTAGTAAATTCTAGTCGTCTGGTGAGCTGGTCCCACCTGATATTCAAACTACAGTTTTTGTTTTTCTGAATCAAGATCATCTCTACTACTTGAAGTGTTGTTTCCAGGTCCTAACAGCTCTTATATCTCTTTCATATCACAGTGTTGATACTCTGAATGTGACCCTCTAGCGAGCTAAAAGGACTTGATGTTTACACTGCCCATATTTTATAGCTCTTTTATGATTGTGTTATGATCAAGGTGTGTGTGGATTAGACTGAATGTAAACACTAAGGGGAAAGAACTTGGTGGTTCATTGATTGCCGGTTTGGCATCGGTCAGTTATGATAAAGTCGTCACAATTGTCAATTAAATATGAATTTTCAAAGTAAGATGAGACGATGAACTGCACCAAAAGGGCCAAATCCTTTGTGTTCGTTTGTGTAATGCATGTCAGTACTGGTTGTTGATGCAGAATTATCTCAACTTATAATATTTGGTTGATGTGGAGGACGAATCGTCGCGAGGGGAGATAAACCGCAGCCAGTCAGAAGAAGGTTTCTGGGTTATGAGAGTCTGTGCTCTGCAGGATTTCTGTCTCAATCGAGACTTGCGGCCGGCTTGTTAATTAGTCACCTCTTGGCTCCCTCTGGAATTTTCCTGAAATTAGTCTCTAATGACAAACACACACTCAAACACAAGTTTAGAGCATTCAGAAGAGGATGGAAATCATTCTGTTCCTTCACTTTGGTCCATTTGGTGTTCTGCTTGGAAGCAAAGTCTCGCAGTGGATTGAATATTGTATTCATCTCATATTTGTAGGTTTGTCAAGTGCCGACTCTGAGTTGTCACCAAAAAATCCTGTGAAAGTCCTAGTTTAAAGTCCTGTGACTTAAACCTAGTGAGAAGTTAAAATGAAGATCGAACCGATGTCTAAACCAACATATTAAATTGTGTCTCTTGTGGTAAAACTACAAACACTTGGGAGATGAGAGTATTATTTTAATAACATCTCTAGCCCTCAGCTGCAGCACCTCTTGCTGATGTCGGTCGTTTTTTCTGCAGCGCTCTGTTTTGTTGTTTTTCCAAATGGGACGTGAGACACGAATACCAAAAAATCTGTTTCTTCACTTAAGCTGATTTTAAAGTGGATTTCGGACTGAAAAATCTAAGCATTCAAATCTATTATTTCCCTACTGGCCACTTATTGATCCAGATGTTTTTATTACCACTGGGTGTTCGTGTTGATAAAAGGTGCAGCACAGAAATGCAAATAGTGAAAAATTAGCTTCCTCCATTACTTGGTCCCTTTAGGAACGAGTCCAAGGCAGAGATGTTTATCCAAAACATGTAAATTCATCAGCTGGATCTGTCAACTCTATGGAGGGTTACATAGCACCACACCCACACAAACTGTGTTGGTGTATTTCAGAATGAAATGTGCTTCTCATTACTTGAAAGTCACTACTACTTTAACTACTTACACTTGTTTGGTTTCTGTGTGGCGTCGCCTTCAAACAGCGATCCTTCACGTCCTCTATAAACTACTTGCTCTCCAAGATGGTGAGTTATGCTTTTAGTTGTTCATATTGTGTAAAAACAAGAGCATGTGGAAGCACTTGAGACAAGGTGTGGCTGCTCTAGGCACACTGACACAGCTGTGGCCACATCCGAGATGCATGATGGGGGAAAGAAAACGCAGGTTTTTGTCTTGTTTCGCCTACATATGACTAACATGCGCTCTCCAGGGAAAGCCTGCAGATGTTTTATGTAAGCAATCGCGCAAACACAGAAGATGCGCCTAAAAAGATGCCTGAAGCCGGCCAGAAAACTCTTCGATGAGAGCTGTCGTTTCTTACATTTTGTCAGATTGTTGTTGTTTTTTATGCCGTTTTGTATTTCCACTTCTTGTTATGCATCCTAAATCATCCAAATGCAGCAGAACATTAAAAGTTAAAGCAGTCAGCTTTGGCTCTGTACCTGATTTTCCATTTCTTTCTGTCTCCGTCAGGTTGGTGTATCGTCACTGTGAGTTAAACCATGGACTGACCACTACAGACCTCCAGACCAGCTTCCAGCCACTATGTCCTAGCTAACAGCAGCACAGCCCCCTCCCCCGACCATCCTGTCATTTAAAACCCCAAGTCCCTCTCTACATTCCCTCCCTCTCCCAGTCCCTCACACCCCTTTCTGATGTGGTGATATCTGGTCGTACCACCCTTCTGGCGTGATGGGCAGCCTGCCCCAGCAGCATCATGGCAGCACAGGCTCCGAGCGAGACCTCCACTCCGCCGCCTCCTCCATCAGCATCCCGTCGGTTAGAAAGACCCCCAAAAAGCGCCGACTGTCCCTCCACTCACTCTTCAGCCGCCGGCGTCGGCCCGACCGCGACCCCAAGCACAAGTCCAGGCCTCTGCAGGCCGGAGTCGCCGTGGACGGCGTTGTCGGCGCCGAAAGCGTCCAGTCGGAGGCGGTCCACGATAAAACCTCTGCCCCCTGCGCTCCGGCCGTCGCATCGACTTCGTCGGTGTCGGTGCCGGGTTCTTCTTCGTCGGAGCTGCTGGAGTGCCCGCTGTGCCTCCTGCGCCATGCGCGCGAGCTCTTCCCGGACATCATGACCTGTCACCACCGCTCCTGCGCCGACTGCCTGCGACAGTACCTGCGCATCGAGATCTCCGAGTCGCGCATCAACATCTGCTGCCCTGAGTGCTCGGAGCGCTTCAACCCCCACGACATCCAGATGATCCTGGGCGACCGAGCCGTCATGGAGAAGTACGAGGAGTTCATGCTGAGGAGGTGGCTGGTTGGCGAACCCGACTGCCGCTGGTGCCCGGCCCCCGACTGTGGGTAAGAAGGAGAGCGTGAGAGATTATATAGGCTACTGACAGAAGAACGCATGAGGACAACCCGCTCTTTACATTAAATATGACTCACCAGCCGAACGAGGGGAGAGCGATTAAGTGATGTCCACCAAACATTAATGGCAACACAGCCAGTTACCCTTAAAACATCAAGCATGTCAGATTATTTCCACACAAGCTACAATTTATGCAAAATTTCTATTTTGGTTACCTGAAGTGCGCTTGATGTTTTCCTTCTTTTGAAATACACAAGTCCCGAAATAACATAGCAAGCAGCTGCATTCAAAAACCTCCAATGCTGTAAACTGGCCTTTTGAAGTTCACCCAGCTTCTGCATTGATGCTACAAGCTATAAATAACTCGTAGCAGTAATAGACCCGTTTGTTCTGTCAGCCTCATGAGTCAGCCAAAGAAACCCAGACGTGAGCAGCAGCAAGTGATGATGATGATGATGATGATGATGATGATGCCGATGCCTATTGTTGTCAGAGCGTACCTGGCATTTCTTCTCACCACATAATGAATAAAGCTGGGAGTGATTGGCCTGTTGGTAAAAATGATAATCATTGCCGCTCCTTCATATTTTGTTGACTGTAAAGCACTCTCTAAAAAGTAACAAAGGGCTTTACATCAATACACAAATCTATTGATACTCTGAGGAGGAGATCATAGTTCTGGTTTCCGTCTTTCACGAGGAGGCGCTGGTGACGTTGAGGGTCGGGTCGGGGTCTCGTATGTTTGCTCTCAGGGGCCCGAACTGAAGCTAACGTCGTTATGCTCGGTGTGCTCACTAGGTCACCGTGTTTTAGCTGCCGTGTTTTTCACCTGCCGGCCATGACAACCTCCATGTATGCAGCAGAATCTCTACTGTTCATCTGCATTTAATGGCTTTACTCGTCTCTCTCTCTCTCTCTCTCTCTCTCTCTCTCTCTCTCTCTCTCTCTTTGTTGCACATCAACACTGCTGACCCCGTCTGTAAGAATAATGGCTCTTTCATGAGCTCGTTTCAGCTCTTCTTGCTCTCGTCATCTCTTGTCATCAGTTTAGCTCCGGCTCAGCTGTCACACTCTCCGCCTGTAAATGCTGTCGCTCCTAATTGTTGTATAATTACTGGTGCAAGATATTGGGTCAGATGTAAGTAATCCTCTGAAGGAGTATTTGACGTAAAGAGAGAGTCTTGACTCCACAGTGCACACACCAAAAGGTCCATTTGGGAGTTCTGCCGTCCACTTTACGACTTCTGCACCATTTGCCGTTGTTTTTGCCTCACCAGGGTGTTAGTAGAGACTGTCTAGACAGAATGGTCTGCAGGTATATGACGCCTCAAACAAAGACCCCGTGAGGGTGAAAGTGTTCGAGGTTTTAACAATAATCACTCAGAGAAAGACTTTTGATGAACCTCGTCTCCGTGCTCTACCGTCAACTAGATTGGATCTCTGCATGGGAAACAGATTAAGACCTTTTTGTCAAGTCCTCTGTCAAGTAGGACTACAACTAATGATTATTATTCATTGTCAATTAATATCCCAAATATTTTCCTTATTAATCATTTGGTCTATATAACATAAAGAACTCAAAGTAAGTAAGTAAACAGCTGTGTACATCAGCCTACAGTCATGGTGTGTATGTTGTATCAGCTCATGCTCCAATAATTCTTTCTGAGCTTTAATGGCTTTTAAGAAATCTGTGCCGAACTGGAGACGCAGCTCTGTCTCGCTGGAGGCTTTGCGCTACATAATTACATTTATAAATAAAGATGTCAGGCTGTAAGTGATTAACCTCAGAGTAAAGCCGAGTTACTCATGCATATACTTTCAGGTGCTGTGTGTACTCCTCTCCCGCTGTATCTAAGGTGTTCCTTTCAACAACATGGTTATTAATGTCTCATTGTATCCACATCAGAGGAACACAAGTAGGTGTGTGAGTCAGAAAAGCAAGGGGAGACGACTGCTACAATTCATTTTATTATTTCCATTTATTGATGGAATGATATTCAGTAATGGTGTTGGGATGTAAATGTCTGCTGCAACAGTTTGTATGGTGTCCCCTTGCATTAGATTTGCATGTTTATAACAAAACGGTTTGCAGACTTTGCCTCGATTGTGCCGTTTGCTTTTCAGTTGCTCTCGAATAGACCACTGTTATGATTGATGAGTGTTACTGTGGAGACACGCAGTCATGCAGAACTGATTGTGCCAGTACATATATACACTATAAATTGCTCCTTAGTTTTACCCGCTCTACTTTTATACTCCTGCACTAGTAATGTCATCCCTGCTGACCCCTAGTGTTGTGCTAAACTACTACATCCATGCTCTTCTATCAGCAAATACTAACCACCATTTTGGTTGATTTTTCTTTCTTCTTCTTCTTCTCTCTCTCTCTCAGTTACGCAGTCATTGCGTTTGGCTGTGCCAGCTGCCCAAAGATCACCTGCGGGCGTGAGGGCTGTGGGACCGAGTTCTGCTACCACTGCAAACAGCTGTGGCATCCCAACCAGACGTGTGACACCGCGCGGCAACAAAGGGCCCAATCCCTCCGGCTGAGGACTTTCCGGTCCTCCTCCCTCAGCTACAGCCAAGAGAGTGGAGCCGCAGGTAAACGCACAACAAACAAAAAAACAACAACACACACACCCAGCGCTCGAACTCTCGCACTCATCTGTACCTTCACCACACCCGTCGTCACCTTTTCCAGCCACAATGTGCGCTAAAAATATCCCCCTGCTTTCTCCTCAACCTTCAACACCCCACTAGGTGACGACATCAAGCCGTGCCCTCGCTGTGCCGCCTACATCATCAAGATGAATGACGGAAGCTGTAATCACATGACCTGTGCTGTCTGCGGCTGCGAGTTCTGCTGGCTGTGTATGAAGGAGATCTCCGACCTGCACTATTTAAGGTGAGACGAGTGTACGGTAGAAAGAACTGCTCATCTCTCACTCTCTCCGTTTGCCCTGACAACCCTTTTCCTCTCTCTCTCTCTCTCTCTCCCTCCAATACTCTCAGTCCATCAGGCTGCACATTCTGGGGGAAGAAGCCCTGGAGCAGAAAGAAGAAGATCCTCTGGCAGCTCGGCACGTTGGTGGGTGCACCCGTGGGCATCGCCCTCATAGCCGGCATCGCCATCCCTGCAATGATCATTGGCATCCCGGTCTACGTGGGCAGGAAGGTGAGCGCTAATGGCAGACTGCCGAGGAGTGACGTGGAACAGTTGTGGTCAAAAGCAACGTTTTCATCGATCTACCATGTGAGATACGTGTGTGTAAATCAATGATTTTCCTCCTCAGATCCATAATCGCTACGAGGGCAAGGACATCTCTAAACACAAGAGGAACTTGGTAATAGCAGGTGGTGTGACGCTGTCTGTGATCGTGTCGCCTGTGGTAGCAGCAGTCACCGTTGGTAAGAAAGAAGGTTTTTCCCTCATGACTTTCTCTATTTTACCATCTGTTTCTCGACAATATTTAGATTATTTAAAAGGATTGTTTTCGTGGGTTGCTAGTATAAATCCGTAAAAAAAGCATCATCTGGTTTGGAAATCGTCCTAAAACATTTGTCCCATGCTGTTCTTGTATCTCTGCTTTGAACTGTCTAAGACTTTGTCTGTTTAAGTGTGCGTTTACGTTGTGTTGTTCAGGTATCGGTGTTCCCATAATGCTGGCGTACGTCTACGGAGTTGTCCCAATCTCACTGTGCCGGAGCGGCGGCTGTGGAGTGTCCGCTGGCAATGGCAAAGGGGTGCGAATAGAGTTTGACGACGAAAATGACAACATAGGCAGCGGGGCAGCGGCCACAGGTGAGCATCTCAATAACAAAAACAAAAAAAGCAAGGCCACTGATTTCCTACGTGTTCCCAGGAGGACTCAGAATGAATAGTAAGAGCCAGGAGTACACTTAAACTTAATGAAGTCTATCGCCCCCAAATGGAAACTTGTCTTTCAGTCAGTTAAAACAGCGAACACTGACTTAACAATAGAATACACACAATAAAAATATGTAAAACAATTAGCACACATTAAACAATGTACATCAGACGACGGCAAAACATTTGACTCTGAGACCGTTTTTAATGTTCAACAGACCATAAAACATTTCAGATTGAAAGACTGAATTGAATATCAATAAACTTCTTATTAGATTCTTCTTTTGTCAATGACAATCAAATGTTTTTGTTAACCTTTATTACTTCATTCCATGATAATTAAAATGTGCTTATATATTATAAACACTTTCTCTCCTGTCATACAGTCACTGTAGAGTGAATTAGGAGTCGTTATTATTGCCACAATCATCTTGATTTATGTCTAGCTCCTTTTTATATTTGGAAAATACCAGCAGCTTTTTAGCAACCACAACAGAAAGAGTTATAGTAGCTGTGTGTGCCGTGTGGGGTGGAGCTTCTCTTGCTTTCCCGGGAGGTGTTTAGGGCGAGGGATTGTGTTTCTCACAGCTTCAGTCAACACTGTGAATGATAATAATGAATCCAAATGACAGCAGGGACTGTCACCTTTTGCTGCAACGTAAGGTGTGAGACATGATGACATTTATTCACACCTGAGAATTCATCAATCTGTTGTTCCTGGCTGAATTTAAAAGGGATAAAAGTCAGTAAAGTCATAGATGTCACTTCAGAAGAATGAACTTTGGCCTCTGACCTCAACATCACTTTTGTTTGCTGTTGTTATCTGGAGTCGATTGATGACTCAATCTGTACTCCCCTCCTCCTCCTTTTTACCAGTGACTTTCTTCTTCCGGTTTCTTCGCTGCACAGTATGACTCTTATTTGTCAGTTAAAAGCTTCTCTACATTAACAAAACCTCCCCCACCCCCCCCACCTTTCTCCTCAGACACGACCTCCGTGGCAGAGACTCGGCTCAACAATCCCAGCCTCGGAGATGGAGCGAGCGTCGGTGGCCTGACGGGCCTGAGTGTCAGTGGGAGCCACATGGAGCGCTGCGGCATGAGCTCCACTCAGCGGGACAACATGAGCGACAACGCCAGCACCACGGCCCTCGCCGGGACCAGCATCACCGGCAGCCTCTCTGGCAGCTGCTACAACAGGTAACAGACCTGGAGAAACGTCTTCGTACATGTTTATTTTGAGATAATAATATTCTCATGGTATCTACCTTTGTGTTCTCCCATACTGGATGAAGCAAACATGCAGCGAATCGTTGCGATGTGATCGATTTTATATTTAGTTTCAATTGTTATTTCCAGGATGGAAGTGCAGGCTGATGTCCAGAAGGAGCGCTGCAGTCTGAGCGGGGAGTCGGCCACCGTCAGTCTCGGGACAATCAGTGACAACGCGAGCACAAAAGCCATGGCAGGATCCATCCTCAATGCCTATATGCCTCTGGAAAGGTGAGGAGTCAGAGCGTACTCGTCCTACTTGTTGCATCAGCACATTTCTGACCTATTTTATGAAAGGATATCTGTCCTAGTTTTTGTAATACCTTACGCCAGAAGCCTTGTCGTAGAAGGAAAGTCAGTATGCGTTTTTAACAGTATTTACTGTATGCTTTCTGCTTTTGTCGAAGATGATGCTCGAAGCACATAAAAACAGCTAATTCTCCATAAATGTGCATATGTGCCAAAGATAGTTGTTGTAAAAGAGTGACCTTGTTTTGCAGAGACAATAGTCTGGATGTTCAGACAGACGTGGAGTCCAAACAGGAGAAGGTGAGGCACTGCAGCGTCAGCAGCAGCCTGGATGAGGCCAGCTGTAGCAGCAGCGCTGCCGGCCTTAAAGGTGCAAGCGGCGGCACGTGCTCATGCCCTTCAACCTGCTGCTGTGCGCAGCTCGACAACCACTGCTGCCCCTCGTCCCCCTGGTCAAGGGAACCCCCCATTTCAGGAAGCAAGAAGAGGAGTGGAAAGCTTTGGAAAAGAGCCAGCAGCAGCAGCAAAGGAGACGCAAAGATGAGCGAGACACGAGGCGATGTGGACGCTCAGCTTCTGGAGCAGCGCAGCACCAACTCCTCCGAGTTCGATTCGCCGTCTCTGAGCGGCAGCCTGCCCTCAGTGGCCGACTCGCACTGTAGCCACTTCTCCTCGGAGCTCAGCTGCTCGGAGCCTGAAACCTCGAGACCGGCGCATCCGTCATGCTCCTTCCCAACGGAACCCCACCTCCATCATCCCGCCGCCGCCTTCAATGACATCGCCATCTCGCCCATGCCCGAGGTGGAGAACGACCGCCTGGAGCATTATCCACCTCAGAGTAGCCACGCAGCCTTCACCCACCGCGTGCTGTCCTCATCTCCGCCCGCGTCACCGAAAGAGGAGAATAGCGGGACGTTGCTACACATCAGCGAGGAGAGTGGAGGCGCCATCGCAGACGCGGAGCCAGAGAAGGACAAGAGAATAAAAGAGACCAAACACTCTGCCGCGCAGCCTGTAAGCCCAACAAGAACCCGCTGTATACAAACTGATATCTGAAGAAGCTCTCCTGTTCTTTGGGCGTGGGCGTCAGTTAGCCTTATCACATAATTTCACTATTCAGTGCAGCTTGGGAGGCTGGTGGTCGAGTTTGAAGCTATACGTTTAAATCTAGTCATATTGTTACCTGCTGTGGGTGCAGGCGGGAATATTGTGTGAATGTCAGTCCATACAGTTACAGAGAGGGAGAGAGAGATTTGTGAATATAGCAAACGGGAGCACAGTAAAGTCGAAAGCAGATCAGTAGGTTTTGTTCTTTAGTGACAGAACAAGCAATGTGTGAAGCAGAAGTTTCAGCCTGCTGTTGAAACGTCGACTGGAGCAACAAGGCCTTTAGCAGGTGGATTTGAATGTATGTGGACAGGTTGTAAAGTAGGTTATCGGGCTGACCTGCATAGTCTGACCCCTGAATGGTGTTCTGAATACAAGCTTGAGGCAGATTTTGTTAGAAAGTGACGAAGCGGAATAGGAGCAAGTAAAACATGGGAAACTCTTTTCAATACTAAGTTGAGCTGCTATTATAAAGCCTGAACCTATCCTCCCTCGGGACATCTGCAGAAATCCGGTTTGCATGAATCGGGGATGGATACATCCTCACTGTGGTCCACCGCTGTGCCACCATCGTTCTGTGACTTCTTAAAACGGCATGAATAACAACACGGCTAAAGGGTTGTTGAGCCTGAGAGAGGGACCAGTCCGTGCAGTAGCAAATTATATTTTTCCATAATCATCTATAAGAAAAGAAAATAGTATTTTTGCTTGTGTTTTAAAATGTGACTCACGATTCTTCGTGCTTTCGTCTTTGCCCATTTTTATTTTCCATTTTGGGAAAGTTGATTTTAATGTTGAAGCCCTGTGTTGGGTCCAAACTGTTTTTAGTATGATCGGGGGGGGGAGTTGTGTTGACAACGGTTTAAAATGTAGCCCTCTTTAATAAATAAAGTGGATTTAAGACAGTTGCCATCTTCACAAGCCTCTGTCTGCACTGGTAAAATAATACTTTTTGGTTTTGGTTGCACCTGTGTAAATGTAACCATCACTGCAGTGTTTAGTACATTGTGGAGTTTTTAGAAGGTATATTCAAGAAAGGGAATTTTAAGTTATTCTTTGTTAATGGAACTAAGAAAAAGCCCAATCTTTAAATTTGAAACTGTAGCATTTCTTACATTTTTATTGGGCTTGTTTTAGTAATCATTCACTAAAACTGGAAAGTCAAACAAACGACGCATTTGCAATAAGAAAAATAAGCTTTTAAATAACTATTCACAAGAGAAGTCCAGTCAAGGGCACACATCAACTTACTAACTATAGCAAAAACAAACTCTCTCACAGATAAAGGTGCACATACATCATCCATCAGTGATTTAATATTCAGTAGTGAATGTATGATGATAACAGGGTTACATTTTTGATTCTCCCTCAGTAATATCCAAATCAAAATATAATTTTTGATTCAGAGCTTTGTGTGTATTTAACTACAATGTGTTTTAAGGTGTTTTAATCCTCGCAAATGATTAATGCAACAATTTTTATTATTTTTTTGGACCCACAGTGCCTTTTTGGGGAAAAATCATTTGCATCGTGTTTTTATTTCCTCATTCTGTATGTCTTCAAATAATAATATTAAAAAGTCATGAGAATGGATTTTATTAGCTGTCACACTAGCTTGACTGCTCTCAGGCCACGACATTAAACCTGATTCTGGGGCAGTACTATAAATCTCAATACCAAAACATTTGTTGGGGTTATTTATTAGGAATAATATTTAGAAAATATTTCCCTCAATTAGCCAAAGTCAGTCCACCTGTGTTGTCAGTCGGCTCCTGTTGGCAATAAACCCCAGTTTATCAGAAGCAATCTGCATTTCGAGTATCAGACGTTCGGTTCAGCAGCTGTTGTGAATTTCCAGCCTGACCAGATTACTTTGCTGGGATGTCAACCAGCTGAGCTCAGCAGGAGCCTGAAAGAGTTGCGGTGCACCTCACATGCTGCAGGATATTCCCTTCTGTTAAATATGCCTGTATGATACCTGTGAGTTTTATATTATTATTTGAAGACTAGTGACAGGTCTATTTTCTAACTTGGTCAAAAGAAGCTATTTGAAAAATGATATTCCCAAATGATTTGCTTTATGTGCATGTAAATGCATATCCTTAAACAATAAAAAAAACACAATCACGCTTGTTGTCTATGTTTTTACATGGAAATGATTTTCTGTAGTGTCTTCAGTTACATGCTGCCTTGTAAACTTGTCGACTGTATGACAACCGCTCGGCTTTAACAGGCGTGGGTTAAGTTTATTATAACGTGCCAAGTGAGCAGCAATCTGCAATTTTGTTGCAGTATTTGTTGTTTCCCTTCAATCAAGCCACAGAAACAAAAGGCACTTTAAAGCATCCATGTAGCAGTTTATTATTTACATTTGCATCCAAACTATTTACATACAGTACATGCTCTTACATTCCACAAAGCAACACGTCAAGCCTCATATCAGGTGTTTTCATTTAGTTGAGATTTTAGGCTTTTATTTAGACAAGGAAAAAAAAAAAAAAAAAAAAAAGGTTAACCGGTAAAATAAGATTGGACATATTAATCAATACATCAAAGTATGAAAGAAATGAAAGTTGTGGCACATTGTGCTGTACAAAGATTTACATTGTTTTCAGGTTGTTTCAAAACTTAGGAATGGGAGATTTAAAAGAAAGATATTTAAAATGTCCTGCACACCAACGCAGGTGTTTTCAGTTATTTCAGTTAATTAGACCTCTGCTGCTATTGAAGTCTGCTAGAGTGATAAAAGTCTTAGTCGTTACAAAACAGGTGTGCTGATGCAAACAGGCGAATCAATCAAGCACTGCCACAGCTCTAATTAGCAAATAAAGTGAAAACACCTGTGTGTGGATCATGGCTGTAGGGCTTCACAAATGTGGACCTGCAGTCTGGATACAAACTTGAAGATCTCATGGGAGAGTTATGTTGTTGCCGGGTAGGTTCCAACCTGCAGCACCCCAAACATTTTTTTGTAAAGAGACTTGAACCAGTTGATGGAGAAGCCAGACACCAATCAATTTATCAGGCTGAACCGCTATCGACTGTAATCCATCACCCTGTAGGTTACTTCTCTACCACGTATGTTTAAATCTTTTGTTGAATGGAGGCTGTGAGGGATTCTATGAGCAGATCCAGGGGGTTCAGAGTTAAAAGCTATTAAAACTATTCTGATAAGACTTTCCAAATGTAAATACTGTACACCTATTCACACACAAAGACGCATGCAGTCATCTTATTTTCATTCAAGATTGAACCTGAGACCTACAATTCTTACAGTACATGATTCAGTAATGCTACCTTCAGTTGCTGGATATTTCCTAAACCAATGAAGGGACAATTTATTATTAACAACAACTTAAGCACTGAGCTCATGAGATATTTTAACTGATAAATCATTATTTTACCATCTTAAATTATAGTTTTAACGCATTAATTCTTCGGGGTCTTTAGCTGTATGTTTTATAGTGAGATGTTGGCTCATCTTTTTTAAAATGTAGCAGCTGATGAAACATGTAAACAGTGCCAGATGTAGCAGGAATAGCTGAAACCCTGAAAAAAAAAAAAAAAAAGATTGAACCAGATGACTTTTTCCAACTTTTTAAAATCTTTCTGGGAGTTCCTCATCTCTATATACACAATACAGTTGAGTTGTATCCGTTTCTGTCAGTGCTTTGGGTCATGAGCTCATTGAAACATAATGGAACCAAACCCAACATCGTGAAAACAAATCAAAGTTGAATCTTGGCCGACTGTGGTAGAAATCTCAATAAGGCACACATAATACACTCTTACACTTCCCCACAAAACAGCGCTCTGCAGGCCGTTACAAATCGATCTGTATGTACAGTACATTACGTCATAATGTGAAGGATTTATAGTGCAAGCAGGTCATGAGTACCTCGATGTTAGCCTTTTTAAATAAAGCTGCCCGTTATGTAAGGCCGTGTACTCAGGAGTGGTTTGCACACATTGCAGAGCTGAAAAAGCTGATCGTCCAAGGAGCCCGTCCCAGAAGTCAACGCCAGTCATTTCATTTTTTTTACAGGTCGTACTTACTGCAACCGATGGCTTTAAGAGTCCTTTTCCTCAATAACTGCTACAGAACAGTACGCGTGCATACCTGTTTCATTCCTCCACAAACATCAAACCTGGAGGAAATGAGCAAAAGTCAGTATTTTGTTTGATTTGTTGAAACATTTCAAGGCACAATACATCAGTGCTTATTTGTTTATTTAAAACGAAAATGTCACTCATGTTAAATCTTTAATATGTTTCTTATATCTTATGGTTTTAAAAACTGGACATGTTAAATTATAATTTCAGTGCAAGAAAAAAAAATAGTTATAGTAGTCATAGTTATTATTTAAACCTGTTATATTTTATCTCTTGGACATTAAATGCAAATGAGGTTAGAAAGACGGTTTAGGTGAATAACATATCTGCTGAACTAAATCATGGTAACACAATATTAAGTCTGACGATGTTGACAAAAAACCTGATAGTGATCTGGAAAATTCATATTTGCAAAAAACAGTTTCGTCCCTCGAGAATCATTGAATCACTTTTTTTTTTTTAAATTTATTTTTTATTTTTTTTAAAATCACTTCTTGATGTTTGTGTGTGTGTGTGTGCATATAAACAATCTTTTACCCTTGGTGTGTGTGAAGTACTGTCCATCAGACTCTGTCTCAGCAAGCCCGTCACCACCTCAAGCTCTTGCTCTGCTTCCTGAACCTTTGGGTCCAGATGAAGGACTTCCTGGAGGTCACTGCTGGCCGACAGGTAGTCCTGGAAAAGAAATAAATCAAGAGAGAGTGTGGGTGAAAAATAATAACGATAAACGAAAGCCACCACCTGTCTAATCTAACGGCTTCAAATAAATAAATGTGTGTTGACGAAGTGGGAAAGACGGGCACCTGTAGACCCTTATAAGCCAGGGCTCGTCTGTAGAAGGCCTTCTTGTTGCCCGGCTCCATCTGCAGTGCAGAGTCACAGTCCTGTTTGGCCTCTTCAAAGCGATTCAGTCTCAGGAGGCAAATGGCTCTAGAGTATAATAGAGTACAGGGGTCAGGGAAAGCACTCAGTGTACTGCCACAGGTAATGGACGTTATTATGGATTGGGGAGATCATGTGGCGCCCTCTACTGTTTTTCCTGTTATACTGTCCTTAAAGGAGATCATAAGCCAGGGTTAGAATCAGCGTTACGTTTCATCCTAAACTCTGCTTCTTTAAACAGTGCCGACCTGTGACACTAAAGCACACAGCGTTTCTTTCACAGTGTAATTCAGGGACAAACCTTGCTAAAGTTGATCGCTCTCGGGTTGTTTGATGCCTACCTGTTTGTGTAGAGAGCACATTCATCAGGTTTTAATGCGAGACACTCGCTGTACTTCTTCAGAGCCTCCTGAAAGTGGCCTTTCTTGACCAGATCGTTGCCTTCCCGTTTTAATAAAGTAAAGCAGGCGTCTTTTCTCCTCACTGTTGACAGAAATGTGCAATTTAGCAACAATGCAACACTGAAACGGGAAAGAAAAAACAAACAACCTCAGAACTAGACTTTCTGTCTGTCTTCAGTTTCAATGAGGTTACAGATATTCTACACTGTATTGAACGTTGTCTTTCAAGAAGCTTTTCCCATCAGGGACAAACTTTTTCAAGAGCGATCAATAAAACCCATCAGTCTGAATGGACCAGAGGGGATGAGTCAACTCCTGCTTACTGAGCTCTCTACTGTGCTGAGGAAGACTTGGGCGCACTCACGCACGCGCGCACACGCACACACACACAATATCCTGGCCTTTATCAAAGAACCCAATTCTAAATTATTTATCAAGTGAGACAAGAAAACTGACTCATCAAGGCTTGAAATTCACACTTGCCACACATGTCCCCAAGGTTTTTTTCTCCTCTGGCTGACAAGTCTGTCAAAGCTAATACTACTTTGACAGTATGTCTTCAGACTTTTTATTCCCAAAACTGCTCTGTAGCTGAACTTGATGAGCAAAACACCAGTGTTCATGATCAATCGACTCTGAAGCTGATAAAAACATGGTTTAATGTCACACTAACGCTAGTATTTTTCTTTCAGTTTTAATGTATTAAGTTATCTTGCTTTTTTTAAAGCATCCAATATAATATACACACTATATTATATATAGATACATACAATATATACTGGAGCAGGTGGAAAATCAAAGAGCATCTGACGGAGAGGCACAAAGAAGTTGGGATCTTATGGTATTTTATCCTTTAAAAACTTAAAATGTTGCTGTGACCAAACAGGATTTAACAAATAAACGGGAGGTGTTAAACACTGACATCATGCTGAACCACCTCCCATCGGTTTCCCCAGCAACAGCAGTGTGCTATTCAGAGATTAGCTCTGTTCTGTGAATGTGTTGTATTCATCAAGTGTGTGTGTGTGTGTGTGTGTGTGTAGGTCAGGTGCTTTATCTGTGTAAGATTAAAGTCCTGTGTATGGAAATGTTATGCAGAGCATACAAATAAAGCTATTATCTATATTTTAGTGTGTGTGTGTTCTATAATGGTATACCACACAACATGTATACAAATATATTTAAATACATGACATAAATATATATATGGAGCCTTCTGGTGTGTGTGAGCAGAAGCATCCTACAGGAAACCTGACCCTGGATTGTTCCATTACAGCAGTGCTACAGTCTGTGTGGATCGCCTTCGCTTTTCTGCATTATTGATGATCCACCCAGACACACATGCGCACTATCTTACAGCAGGAGTGACTTCACCACTGCTCATCGGCATTTACACACCGATTTCCACTGACCGACTTCTGATGCTGCTGCCTTATTATTCCATAATTTAAAGGGTTTTATTTAAAAATTCTCCACCCACAATTCATAATGCATCTATCTGAGGAGACAAACAATTTTGTCCAAGCAGTAGGAAAAAAAACAAAAGGTGGCAGATTCCTTTTATGTCAGAACAAAAGCTTTCGACAGCAAGTAAATCACAGTTATACATAGAGATAGCTGTAATGCTATAAACTCTATTGGATCAGGAAGCACATGTTCTCGCACTCTATGCTTGTTAGAGTGCGAGTGCATGTGCTTGTGACTGCTTTAGGGGACGACTAGAAGGTTGTAAATCCACTTAGCACATGTTTTGTATTATAAATGTACAACTCCTCACTAAGCTGAGAGGAAGTGATGTCACCGACCTTCATCCTGAGCAGCCCGGGCGGCTCGGGCTTGTGCTACTTCCGCGCTGATCGGTTTGTCTCTGTGCTGCAGCTGGACGGACAGAGGGACGGCGGGAATCTCCGGAAGGTTCTCTCTCCACTCAGGACCGTCCTGCTCGATAAGCATCTTGGTGATCCTGGCAGAGGACGCACAGAGAGTACAACATGCAGTGTAATTAGCCAGATTATTGCCGCAACCACTACGTGTATCGAGCCTGTAGTGTATTCAGACGGGAAACGCGACAAATAAAGTCAAGTTAATGTGGATGGTGGTGAAACAACTGCAAAGACCACAACAGAAGAACATCTGACTAGAAGAATTAGAATAAAAATGGACAGCAAAGTATGTTGATTTCATATATACTAACTGCAAAATCAGCACACTGTAAAGATGACATACTGTATACAGTTAGCAAGTGGTACATAATTAGGAAAATCTCCTTGTCAGTGAAATGAACCGTTTGGCCGAATGAAGATGTGCAAACTTTCAAGCCTTGATGGCACAAGATTAATAGGCTCTTCAACTCTTATTAAATGCATATTGGACTATTTATTTATACACGAAGCCATAAAAAGAATGGTGTCAAATGTGTTAACCAAAATATTATAAGAAGAATATGTGTAAGGATGGAACAAATACATACAGAACAGAAAAAAAACAACATGACAAGTTCCAGAAGCCACCGTTTATAATGTTTAACTGTTTTCAGCTGACCTGTGGACGCTGTCGTGAGCCGCCTGCACGCTGGTGTCTATCTGCAGGACAGTCTTATAATCCACGTAGGCCTTTTTGTAGCGCTCCAGTGACTCATGGGCCATGCCTCTGCGTAACAGGGGCTTCAAGGAGTACGGCTGCAGCTCCAAAGCCCTAAGAGGATCAGAGAGATGCAGGGACAGAGGATCAAACCGTCTACACCTGCTCACTGTGACTCACAGGTGTAACTGGTCTGATCTGCAGCTCTCCATTCATAAACATGCGAGTCTTTGCTTCAGACAGAGGGATTCCTGCAGCCTCCTAACAAATAAAACTGAATAAAATAAAACAGGAAGAATTTATGTCACCAAAAGTAGCAAAACAAGATATTGACTTGTCTTTAGTCTTATTTAAATTACGCATGTAAGGAAAGTCATGCTCTACTTAACTCTACTTACCTAATACAGGCTGAAATATTAAAAAGGTAATTTCATTTAACTACAAAAGCTGATATCTTTCATTGTGAGACAAAGGCAAATGCTATAATAGCAAACGCTATCTTAATTAAAGGGGAACTGCACCGATTTTACACATCAAGGTTTGCAAGTGCAGGGACGTGTGACTTCATATAAAGCCTTCTGTGATTCCGTCCCAGCAGTCGCCAGTCCTGTTGAATTGTGGGTAATCAGTGGGTTCATATTTTTTTTTTCTAACTGTCCATCATGAACCTGACAAAGTGATGTTACAGGAGAGCAATAATAGATCGGTGGAGTTCTCTTTTACATCCGACAGAAACACACAAAGCACAGAGCGGACACGTGTCACGTACTTGTTACAGTCCTGTATGCATTCGGTGCTGCTTCCATTCTTCAGGAAACAGGCTGCTCTGTTGGAGTACAGAATACACAGGTCTTCTGGACTATCGATGCCTGCAGGGGGAACAAATACAAACGCACTTAGCTCTGAATGGTGAAACAACAATCCGGTCATCTTTCATTTCAGTATAACACATGGGCGTAAAGACAGACTAGTACTTCATATGAAGAACAGCTCTTTTTCACTTTTGCTGTAGTCATTTTCTGTAATGTCCATTCTTCTCTGGGCCTCCGCTGCAGTTTCACAACTGACAGCGCAGCATCAGTTATCACGTGCTGCTCGAGTGCCCAAAGATGATGACTACAGTGCTGATACTCCTCAACATTAGTGTTTTTGTTTTTTTCTTCCAGAATCATAAAGATGCTAAATCCCACATTGTTTCCAGTGCTTTACTTTGAGAGTCTCTCTGTTTAGTCGACTCTTGTCCTGTGTCTTGCATTGAGCATAGCAGAAAAAAGCTACTCCACTTACTAGCCACAAGAGTAAAAGTTGGCTGAGTGCTCTTAAACGTGCAGCATGACATTCAATCTCACCTAAAAGCCCCCCATGTGCACCCGCACATGACTTCTATCTACGGTCAGCGGTGTTGTCTTGTGCCAACACTGCATTCACAAATCACCAGCGAAGCCTCGAGTCTCAGCTGCAGTTTTTGTTGATGTTAGACTAAGAACTTGTGATCACTGATCCACACAGGTGATGGGTCCCAAAAAAAAAGTGTCCCTCTACTAGAATCATAACGTATGATTATGAGCACATGCAGGCTGACTTGGAAAAGATATTGAGCGGCGATGACAAGAATAATGGATTCAAAATTGACATGGGATACTGTGGATTGTGGAGCCAAAAGATACTCAACTTGTATCCGATACCCTTACGAGGGCAGGTACACAGATACTACAAGAGACTTTCTGTCTCACTCTGTGCTACCAAAGTGTTGATGTTCCCACATTAGTGGCTTGGCTGCCATCAGAAGTTGCTTTTGAAGTCTTTTCGTCAACAAAAAGCACAGCAGGGGAACAGTTTTTTACGCTAAAGATGATTTTAAAACGGGTATAGGGTACAGTATGAAGGCACATTGTTGTTCACTGCATGACTCTTTAGACACTAGTCTTTTTATTGTTTTCTAAACAAAAATGCCAGAAATTCACTGTGGGAAATTCCGCAATTTCTACAATTGTGAAGTGAATATCTTTGGGTGTTGGATTGTTAAGACAAATACGCAATTTCAACATGTCAACTTAGAAATTGTTAGGGCCATTTCCCCTATTTTCCGACAATTTACAGACCAAACAATAACTACATTTATAAAGAAAAAACCGCACTGCACGACATGCAGCTATAGTGTCATTGCCAATGTCAATTTAGCTTATTACAGTTTTTTGGTCATACTGCATATTGTGCATGTCAAGTTTAACAACCCAGAATTGTTTCTACTGAGAAACATCTGAGAGTAAAATGTATTATGGCACCTACATTTCTCTAATCAACAGAGGTGTTTCTCCTCCGGATCAAAAGCTGCTCGTGAGGCGTGAATTCTCCAATAAAATACGCACACCGTTGACATCTTCCTCACCTGCTTCAGCACACCCATCAATGGCCTGTGTGTACTTGTCCAAGGCGTCCCCAAATTGGCCATTTTTGAAGAGGTGGTTCCCTGCGTTCTTGAGCCGGGCCAGGTGAGGAGGAAGTGCCCCGGCGGGGGCGTCCAGATAACTAGTGTCCGCTGCAGGGCTGCCCTGCTCCTCTTGTCCACCAGCAGGGCTGTTTTCCCTCCGAGCGCCGTTGGCCACCCCCTTTCCTGGAGCTCTCGGCGTCTGGGGCTTTTCCGCGGTGCTTCCGCCCCGGTTTCTCGTCCCGTTCCCCGCTGTGGCCTGATGCGATCGGCCTCCCCCTCCTCCGCTACCCGGGGGCTTGTCCTGTGCGTTACCCATGGCCGCACTCCCTCCGCAGTGTGTTCAAACTCTTCCTCTCGCAGAGCAGCAGCTATGTCTGAGCCTTTGCTGGGGATTTCTGTAGGACACGCCCCCTTGGATGATATGTTATTTGTGACGTCACAGAAGGGGGGGAAGTGCCACAGCGATGCAGTGCTGCAGTAGGACAGCGTCAGATTAGACATGCGAGTACAGGGCTCTGGTGTGCTGGTGACATAATACAGGCAGACACATCCAAAACCCGAATGAGCGTGTCAAATTAGAGGAAAACAACAATTGTTATGATATATTTCTTTATTCTTTATGGTCAATGATGATGCCCTTTAGACCCTTACAAAACAAAAGCATTGCTTTGTTTCTACTATAAATTTAAACTTTGTTTTTTTCTAATGTCTTTTATTAAGGGGACATTCAAAGTCGTAACAGCACAGCTGTAAATAATCTAATTAATTATTTGCTCCAGTTCTGTGCATGCTGGCTCACTGTCGTGACTTACACTCGGATAGAGCTAAGCCATCGTTAATGTTATTAGTACCACCTGTGCTTCTCCTAATGGACATGGCACAATGGCTGCTGTGAAAAAAATCGGAAAGGAATATGAAGGAAATCATTTGGGCTGTAGTTGTTTTTATATTTTTTAACATGTTACTGGACCAAACCAGTGGTTCCCAATTTAGGGGTTGGGGCCCTCAAAAACGGTCACAGTGTCCAAATTAAACACTATTTTCCCTATAAATAATAATATATTATATAGGTATTTGTCAGAAACTAAAGAAATGATTTAGCTTCACAAAATTATGTAAATTCTTTCACACCTAATTCTCATCTTTGCATTATTTAAAGGAAATTTCCAGATAATTTAAGGCCTTTCAGCCTTTTAATGAATAGTTTTAAGAAGAAATCAGTCATTGGTTCAACTGGTGACAACTAGTAAACGTGCAACCACTTGGGGTCTCGACAAATGAATGATAACATTGTTATTTCACAGTGTAAAAAAATGAATATTAATCTATTTAATTGGTTTTATTTAAACATTTCTAAATGATTGTACATATTCTTCCATCAGTCTAGATGTTATCATTCAAAGGTGATACTTGCTGACGTGTTGAGGGTATTAAGGATATGTGGGTGAACTGATATTTATGAATCATGGGATAAAATGAGAATAAAAGTCAACACAGTCAAGGCTAGTGAAAATCTTGTTTTTTAATAAACCAAAACCTTTCATCTGTTACTCTTAGGTGAAATAACAACAGCACTACTTGTGTCGCAATGAAAATGTTGAGCTTCAACCATAATTCAGGAATCTGTAGTCAGACCTGAAGGTCAGAACATATGGAGTTGTCAATCGATTTATTTACATGGTCATACACCACAAAAATAGTACACAACGAAAACAATTATCAAAACGGCTGCTCTCCTCGTCTTCATCGGGCATCAAAGACAACCACTGAAATCAAAGAGTCAAGGAAATGTACAGTCACAGCTCTCAGTTCATACGTATAATTTATTTTTAAAATAATTTTGCCATCAAAGGCATTGAAAGGATACATCTCTTTGTTCTCTTCTTGTACATGATCCTGTAACCGCACTCTCTGCATCGGATGGGATCACGGGCCTTAATTTCATTTTCAGTGTGACATTCTGCAAACAATAAAAGAATATTACAGAAAACATCCCATACACCCATTATTATTAGAGGATAATCGTTATGAGCTTTCTGCAGATGCGTCGGTATCAGAGTACATTTCGGCTGATACAAGAAATTTCAGAACAGAAATGCACAACAAGGTGTGCAGTCATTTAGAAACAGCGTCTCCATTACATAGCTCGTCCACCAAAGATACAAGATGAACATTTCTCAAAAAACAACAACAACAACAAAACCACCACCCAAACCATTTAGGGATCCCTATTGATCCAGTATCTGGCAGGCTATAATAACTATGTAATTGTTCAGTTCATGCTGAAGCCTGGTGTGTATTGGTTCATTGATGAGGATTCATTTATATGCAAAAAATGTATATGACTTTTTTTTTTTTTTAAGTGTGAATCATGTATTTCGGCTTATTTAGAAACCAGTGATTTTAGTTCTGGTTACATTGGCAGATTCATAAATGTTTAAGGGAAAATAGATTGTGTGAACTGTGTTATTGTAATGTGATATGAGGATTTTTAGTTTGTCAATGTGTCATGAAGTGACTCAACAAAATAATTTTGTGTACAGAAGAGTGAACTTGTTTATGTTGAGGTTACATCATATCTATATAGTATCAGTTCTGGCAGTGAATTTATTATTTTGTTGTAGACAAAGGTCTGAATATTGTGAAATGTATGTGTATATTTTGACTCTTTGTGATATCTAAAAGGTAGGTTTCTATCAATTTTGTGGTGTCTTGTAATCCAGTGCGGTCTGAGCAGAGCTGAATGCATAACGTACACGTGCGGCTGTACTGGCAGTGATAGAAGATGTAAAAGCAGCAGCTGTAGCAGTACTCTAGGTATGGTAAATTAGCATTGTTAGCAGCGGTGACGGCTGTAACGGTGCAATAAACACCAACAAAAGCTACAATGTAATGATACCTCCACATATGTAGATCATAGGCTGCTGTTTGGGCGGTTGCGCATCTTTCTGTGGATCCATTTTTGTTTCTATAAAAGACAGAAGAAGCCATGTTGACACAATCACATACGTGAGGTAACAGCATGCTAACACAGAAACAGCATGGTGTGTAACGTTACCGACAGTGTAAAGCTGGAGGAATAGTGAACAAATGTCTTTCAGACGCCTCAAAATGCTGTATGAATATAGTACATATGAACCACAGGAAAGGTGAAGATAAAAAATAAGACAGCTCACCGTTTTAACACGCTAAATGTTTACCTCTCTTTTCACATCACACACTGCTGCATGTGCGCATGCGTACAACCGTCGTACACCTCAGAGCAAAGTGGTTTGTGATTGGTCAGAAGATTTGCGTCACGTTTAGCGTATTTTTTTCCTTTTTGACAGACAACGCAAATTATATGAATATATGACAGATTACATGGTATGTAATGGTGTTTCTGTGGTTTATTTATTGAAGGTTGTTCATTGTTTCTATGTTTCTAAGGACAGACGTTGTTTTTATTTTAAACTCCGGTCCACCAGAGGGCGCTGTCGGAATGTGTTTCCACCAAACGGCCCATCATCTGACGAACACTCAGCTGGCCCTCCGCTAGTTTTTGACAACAACGACTCTGTCGACAATGTTCACATCTTGACTATTGGCCCCAACACAGCCATAACTTACTATTAGTCCGTTGCCTTTTTTATTATTTGAAGTTATACATCATGGAGCAGTCTGCGCCCAAAAGGTTTGTGTAGTTCTCACTGGTTTAAAACGTGCTTGCAATCTATTAACTAGCTAGCTAAAAGGCTAACGTAGGCGGTAGCTGTCGCACAGCTAGCTGATGCTAACTGAGTTAGCTTTACCAGTTTTCTGTCAAACTTTCTACTTAATTAAGACGAGTTAACAATTTTAGAGCTCACTCCTGACCAAAGTCACACGCCCAGTGTTGAAGCCTCTAATTGGTAACTGTTAATGTTCGTTAGTGACTTTTATTGAGCATTTTGATCTAACGTTACGTTATTACTTGGACAGGTACAAAATACAAATAAATTAATTGTGTGTGAGTTGAAACAATTTTACACATCAGAGACCAATATCACACATCCTAAATAACCAAAAATATCTGTACTTAATAATAAATGAGGCAAAGACTAATTAATCCCTTGCTGTAGTGTTTGTTTAAAGTGAATACATATGCAAACATTTGTGTTATTTATACATTTTAACACCTTATTTTGAATGCATTATTCCCTTAAAATCATTAATTTATGTGTATTACTGAATTTCAGATGCTCAAATGGTATAGTGTTTTAGATTAGTTTCACTACTTATTTTTAAGTAGACATTTATACTGAAGTTACAATTGATTTGTTCCATTTTCTTCCCCAGCAAGCTGAAAAAGCTGAGTGAGGACAGCTTGACCAAGCAGCCAGAGGAAGTGTTTGATGTTTTAGAGAAACTCGGTGAAGGGTAAGATGTTTTTTCTCTGTTTCCACTCGTGTGCCATTGTCTGAAACTATTTTAAGTCCATCTGTACTTTTTTAAGATGCACCTCCTTTGTTGTGTAGTGTGTTAATTTGTTAATAGTATCACATTTAAATGTTTGTGTTTAGTTCCTATGGCAGCGTGTTCAAAGCCATCCATAAGGAGTCCGGCCAGGTGGTGGCCATCAAGCAGGTTCCTGTGGAGTCGGATCTGCAGGAGATCATCAAGGAGATTTCCATCATGCAGCAGTGTGACAGGTTAGAGGAGAATGCAGCTTTCCCCCAAACTTCCAAATTCACCACACAGATTTCTGTCCTCAAAGGATCATATTTGCTTCCATAGTTCACTTTGCTTTAAGTTTGATGTTTGCTTTAACAGCATTAGTCAGCTACTGCAGCCTGAACAGCGCTCTGATGTGTTGATCTACGAGCGTTTTCTCACTTCTGCTGTTTTCGTTCTAAACGGAAATTCCGCCTCCTTTGATAACCACTCTGTTTTGCATTTCCTTTTAGCCCGTATGTAGTGAAATACTATGGCAGCTACTTCAAGAACACTGACCTGTGGATTGTCATGGAGTACTGTGGAGCCGGCTCTGTGTCTGACATCATCAGACTGCGCAACAAGACGGTGGGTGCTTACAGAGATATCTGTGGTGCGTGTGCATGGCTGTACTGAAATCACACTTGCCTTACATACCTGGGTTAGTCTTATTTATTTGTTCACTTTTGGATCATATTTAATCCACGTGTTTTCTCTTTCCTTCTCACATTAGTTGACAGAGGATGAGATTGCCACTATCCTGAAGTCAACACTGAAGGGTCTTGAATACCTTCACTTCATGAGGAAGATCCATCGAGACATCAAGGCAGGAAACATCCTCCTCAACACCGATGGACACGCCAAACTGGCCGACTTTGGAGTTGCTGGACAGCTAACGGTAACATTATAGCAGTGGCTTGATGGTTTGTACCAGTGACAGCAAAGTGAATGTTCTTTTTTTAAACTTCCACTATGAATGTATAGTCTTTCACAAACTTCAAGTTCATAATTGTGATTCCAGATTTGTTTTTTCTCTCTGAAGGACACTATGGCGAAGAGAAACACTGTGATCGGTACTCCCTTCTGGATGGCCCCAGAGGTGATCCAGGAGATCGGCTACAACTGTGTTGCTGACATCTGGTCCCTGGGCATCACGTCCATAGAGATGGCCGAGGGCAAACCTCCCTACGCTGACATCCATCCCATGAGAGTGAGTGTGCACACGTTTGTTCAAGAAGCTGGTGCTAAGACACAACAAGCTCAGACCTGAAGCAGGACTTTTTGTGATTTCACCTGACTTTTTTGAAACCTCTTTGCTTTCCTCCAGGCGATCTTCATGATCCCCACCAACCCGCCTCCAACGTTCAGGAAGCCGGAGCTCTGGTCGGACGACTTCACGGACTTTGTCAAGAAGTGTCTGGTCAAGAATCCAGAGCAGAGAGCGACTGCCACGCAGCTCCTACAGGTTGGAGGAAAGACACACACACACACACACAGACAGATGTCAGAGAGAAGTTGAGCCACTAACGATACCACAAAACACTTATTCTTTTTGTGAATGTCCAGCACGCATTTATAAACCAAGCCAAGCCGGTCATAATCCTGAGAGACCTGATCACTGAGGCCATGGAGATGAAAGCCAAGAGGCAGCAGGAGCAGCAGAGAGAGCTGGAGGAGGAGGACGACAACTCTGTACGTACGCGGAGACGTTAACAATACAGTTTGTGTCAATGACTTAATTAAACGGCTACATGTTGAGGCCATGTGACTGAATGTCTTCCAGGATGAGGAGACGGAGGTGGACTCTCACACTATGGTGAAGTCGGGCTCGGAGGGTGCAGGAACCATGCGGGCCACCAGCACCATGAGTGATGGCGCCCAGACCATGATTGAACACGGCAGCACCATGCTGGAGTCGGACCTGGGCACCATGGTCATCAACAGTGATGATGATGATGATCAGGAGGAAGACCAGGGATCCATGAGGAGTGAGCACGCACACATAATGTTGATTCAGATATGGGGAGAAAAGGGTTGCACATCCGCTGCCGCTACAGCAGCTAAATGAAGGCTCGAGCCAACAGGAAAGTGTTAATGTTATTAGCTTTTCTTGTCTGTAATATTGTCATATGGGGATGGCAAAAGCAGGGTACTAACTAGAGGATCAAGAGTTGAAAACCTCTCCCTCCTCCACAGGACACGCCACCTCTCAGCAGCCAATACGTCCGTCCTTCATGGACTATTTTGACAAGCAGGACTCCAACAAGGCGGCCCAACAGCAGGAGAACTACAACCACAACCAGCCGCAGGAGCAGCCCGGCTACCATATCCAGTCCAAGAACGTCTTCCCCGACAACTGGAAGGTGCCCCAAGACGGAGACTTCGACTTTGTGAGTAACGTCTTCTGTGAGCATGTGATGGTGCTGCTGTAGTTAATTTGGGTTTGACCTGAAGGAATAAACAGCAGTGCCTCGGCAGCAGTTCTTACACTAAATATGACTCATTGTCTGTGTTCCTAATTGTGTGCTGTCGCCCAGCTAAAGAACCTGGACTTTGAGGAGCTGCAGCTGCGTCTGACTGCCCTGGATCCCATGATGGAGCGGGAGATTGAGGAGCTCAGGCAGCGCTACACTGCCAAAAGGCAGCCCATCCTGGATGCCATGGATGCCAAGAAGAGACGACAACAGAACTTCTGAGTGCCTCTCGCACTAGTCTTCACCACAAAACTTACATCCCATTGACTCAGAGGAACTAAAGATGACCGTATTGTCTTTGTCTGCTGTTCTAATCGCCTGCTAACTGGCCTCTAAATGAAGTTGGATGCCTCTCTTACATCCATTTTGACTCCTGGAATCTACACTCGTCTGCCTTGTTTCCACACTTCGTCTCGATGCTGTTCCACCATATCTAAGTCTTATATTTGTTTCTACACTTCCTGTAAAGTTGCTTTCCCATGAATGATACTCAGGACTGAGGCCAAAGAGAGAACTAAGGCTATTATACGTCTGAACGTCACAACGTAAGTTCCACCATCAACACATAAGGAGGCCTATCGGGCAGTAGCAGCAGCGTAATCACAGCGGTCGATGACATGTGCTCTTTTTTTCCTCAGACTTTTCACTTTCACTGTAAATATAATATAGAGCCTAGTTTGGAAATACCTGCAAGAAAAAGCTGTGGAGGCCTGTCCATGACCAAAGACAATCAAGATGATGATTATAGTGGAGAATGCCTTAAAATAATGTAAAACTGGTCAGGTGGTTAAATCCATTTCCTCACTTGGAGATGAGTCGGAAGTGGACTGAGGAAAGCTGTTAGGATGGAGAGAAATGGCGGTAGTGAAGAACGGATCATGCATGTTTTCAGGGTTGGATCAGAACATTTGAAACTATTTTTATTAGTCTTAATTATCATTTATTTAATTATCACGTTATTTTTTTGGGCTTCTTTAAAACAACCAGTGCACTGTCTATGTATTGACTCCGTGCATCTCGGTGCCTCATAACACACCTGTACCACTTACCCTGATGTTTTAAAGTCGGAGCTTTAACTTGACAAGATGATCCACTTTACACAAATTAAAACCAGAGATATCACCAAAATTCATTCTGAAGTTTAAAAAAAAAAAAGAAAAAGCAAGCGAATGCATTCCAGAATACTGCAGATTTATTCCACGGTTGTAATAATTGTTTTCTGTTATAAATTGAGATTGCAATTTAACTTTATAAAATGTGTGGAGCCGTCTCGTATGCACAGCATTAGAGAAGAGAAAGAAGAAGCCTTTATTTTGAATGTTAAATGGAAAGCTCCTACTGCTCTTCATGAGGGAAACAAACTGCGCTGTTGTGGTTGTAGTTAAATTCTGACGTTCTGATTTTACACGCGCTAACGATGACCCTTTGAATACATGTACAATATGTCTGCAGGTTGCTGTTGCATACGAATGTTAATATGCAGTCTTTATGGTTCAGCACATACTGCATATTAATCAACATTTTGATATAATCTTATGAATAGAGCTGTTACACTATCTCGCGTATCTGATGGACAATGTGGCTAAAATGAGCTGAAACTTTAAAACACTTGAATCCACTCTTTTTTTTTTTTCTTCAAACCCGCTTATTCACAGAAATCATTACCATTCTTGTCATAAATTAATTCTGCAGTGCTTTAGCAACTCGCACACAAGCATTCACAATTTATTTGTTAAATGTGTTTCAAACTTTTTCATTTTGTGACACTGGTTTAAATATGGTAGCTGATTTGGCTCTTAATATTTCTGCCCTTTGTTGACTATATGTGGCTTGATTTCTGCGTTTTTTAGACTATGCATGTTTATAGTTGTTTGCTATTTAGTGGAATGTTTCTAACAGAGCGCTGTTAATATGGAAGCTGGATTTTCAGTTTTAACAAACTATTTGCTCTGTACAATTTTAAAAACGCCCCATCTGAAATATGACACTGCGGAGAATATGCCATCGTATGTGTAGTTATCTGAAATCACGGTTTGATATATATAGCTATATGATTTTGTTCTGTTATTTCTGCAATATAATGACTCGAGAGTGAAGAGTGGAATGTAAGCATTAATGTTTGAACCACCTAATTTATTATCTTTTGTTTGTAATACTTTATTTTGAACAGGTGCAAGAAATAATAAAAGTTACTTATAGTTAACCATATCTGCAGTGGAATCCTTTTCATCTTATCTCTGAGATCATAAAAGGAGACTTGATCCTCTGAGATGGACTCTACTGCTGTGAATGACCACCTGTTGTACCGTAACTCTTCTACTATGGACGCCACTAATTTCCGTTTGCACGACATTTACAAATAAGTTTCTCAAAAAAAAAAAAAAGCAGCGTGAACCTGTTGGCAGACATTACGGTAAACTTTACGGCAACTGTTCCGGCTTTCTCTGCAAATTGTTGCACAACGCCTCCCTTCAGTCACAGCCAGTCTGCGGTGGAGAAAGATCGTCAAACTAAATCAGGAAAACATGTCTGTCCTCAACAGAAAGATCGTCAACACTACATCAGCCCCGGCTGCCATCGGTCCGTACAGGTAACTTAAAAAATACAATATGCATATCTATCTATTTATAGCGACACGTGGTGTGCAGAAGCTGCTACATCAAAACGCTTCAATGAATGGAGGAATCACAGGGACAGTCCAACGTAAGATCGGGGGCGGGTCTTGGTGTACAATGAACTCACCTGCTTGACTTGACCTCATTAAAAAAATAGTGTCAGAGCTGAACTTTCAGCAGAGCAGAAGAATCACCGCAGAGTAGAGACAGACGACTGAATGAAATGGCATCTATTCGTCGACAAATCCCCTACACTTCAAAGGCCCCTGTCAGACAGGGGATATACAGGTAAGATTAATATCATGTGAAATACTTTATCTGGACTTTGCATACTCTATATCTACAGAAATGCAAAATAAACTACAACAAAAACAGTTTGGGTTCATAACTTATTATTATTAAATACTTGATTAAAACCAAATTAACTCAAATAATCAGTAATCATCTGACACAAATACAGCAGTTTAGTGTGTGTTCTTGTTTATTGCAGTCTGTGCACAATGTGGGGGGTGTTGTTGCTCTGGCCAATGGGCTGTCAGTGGGTGGAGTTACTTCAGACAGAAATGGCCTCTGACTTATCTGATTTGGATATTCAAGGTTACTTAGCCATTGTTGGTGTCTGGTGGTGAACTTGTTGTATTGTCTTCCATTTGTCATAACATTTGACTTGATGAACTACCACAAAAACGTGTCACAGACTAGCTGTGGGGTTTAGATATGAAATCCAGGTCCTTGAGATAAAGTGCAGATAGAGTACAGTTTTGATTCAGAAACAGCTTCTTCGAAAACGTTTTTTGTGTGCTCACCATTTTTATGTCATCTCCATTACTATATCAGCATGCACATTTACATGCTGTCCATTTATAAATGAGGAAATACGATATCAATTTATTCGGCAGTATATAAAGCAGATGAAGAGAGAGTGGGAACATACACCAAAACATAATACATCATTTTATTTAATCAATACTATTAATTTAAAAAGGGAATACTTTTTTTTTGTTGCAATTTATGTTCACTATTTGTTTCTCTCACATGAAGTATCCAGATCTAAGTAGAGTGTGTGTGTGTGTGTGTGTGTGTGTGTGTGTGTGTGTGTGTGTGTGTTTCATCTTCAGCCAATCTGTGGTTGTGGACAGGACAATGTACATCTCGGGTCAGCTGGGGATGGATGTGGCCTCTGGTCAGCTGGTAGATGGAGGGGTGACGGCTCAGGCCAAACAGGTGAGGCGGGACAGATTATCTATTTCAAGTCATCAGTGTGACATTATTTCCCAGAGTAGCAACATTATAAGTAACTGAAAGATAATCAAGAAGCTCAGATGTGTGCCACATGCTTTTGACCTCCACAGAGAAATACAGCCCTCCTTTCATGTCTGTTTTGATTATAATTGAAAAATCTTTTGATTTAGATAGTTTTGATAGTTTGTTTTATCGTTTATTCGGGGAAAAAAACAAAAATACAGAAGTACCATGTTTTTTTCGTTTTCCGTTTTAAACCAAAAACGGGAAAGCACAGCCGTTTTCTGTTTTTGTTGTCTGAATCCAAAAACAAACTCAAATAATGAGCCGATTTTGGTTTTTGCAAATCCCTCTTTTGTATTTTCTTTTGAAGAGAGACGCAAAGCAAGACGGGTAGTACGGAAGTAAGAATATGTCAAAATGCAAGAAAATTGTTAGTCTATAATGCAAGTACACACCAGGGTAACATTAGAAAACCAACCTCCCACTAACGTTGGGGGAAAGTTAGGAAACCAACCTCTCACTAACCTTTGAGTTTGGAAAAACGGCGGTGCTTTTTCGTTTTTGGTTTAAAACGGAAAACGAAAAAAACATGGTATTTTTGTTTTTTCGATTAAAAGATAAAACAAACTATCAAAACGTACACGGACCTGATCACAATATGTCTCATCCCTCAGGCTCTCGTCAATATGGGGGAGATCCTTAAAGCTGCTGGCTGTGACTACACCAACGGTAAGATGTCCGCCTGTTCAGGAACTCAGCTGCTGCTCATTTGTTTTCATGTGATTTGAATGTTCAAACAAAACAAACTGTCAGACGGAGTGAACTCTTTGATTTCAGTGGTGAAGACGACAGTGCTGCTCGCTGACATCAACGACTTCAACAGCGTCAATGAGGTCTACAAAACATGTAAGGAAATACTTTCTTTTTGCTTTAAATGTCGGAGATTAAAATAGAAAATATAATATGTGGTCTTCTAATAAAATTGGTAAAATGTGCTGTGTATTTTTCTCTCATATTTTTATATATTCTAAAATATAAGAGCAGCCACACAGGGGCAGCCTTTAACTAACGTTGTTAGAGCTGCTGTTACATCCATGTCACCAATACAAGCACCTATACAGCCCAGTTTATTCCTTTTTATATAAGCGTCACTGTTGCGGTCCTGTCACAGCCACTTGCACAAACACCTGAGTCACTGTTTGCCGTGAGACTGGGTTGTCACTTTGTTTTATCAAATAGATTGCTGGCTTGTTCCTTCCTATCCCTTTGCTGCTTTATAGAGTGTGTTGTTGTGAAATAGGGGTTGTGGTTAAGGAGACTGCTCTTTAAGGAGAGGAAGTGGATTCAAGCCGGCATGTTGGCAAGTGTGGAGCCTGCCGAGTATCCTTGAGCAAGGCACTGAATGTCTACTTGCTCCGAGAGTGCTGGTCTAACTGACCGTTTGCTTTGTGAAGGGAGGTATGATCAGAGAAATTAAACTGTTCTAAATACTCTCTAATTGTCTTTATTGACGGTCATGCTACATCTTCCTGTGTATGGAGCCAGAAAAACTGTAGACCTTTAATAATTTGATTCATCAAATTTGCAATCACATGATGCGTTATAAGACTGAAAGTAAAACACAATGCAGTGAAAAGATTATTAAATCTGCCAATTCATAACTCTACTTCCTTATTATGACTTCAAATGATTAATTCATTTTTTTTATTTGAAATAGAATAGCCAAATTATTTAAAAATAATCATTCACATTTAACTTTTTGTTATTCCATTAGCTAATGTGTGCACAAATCATAGTCCATCGAACAAAACATACAGTGTGGTCCGTGCTGTAAAAGCATTGCGTTAAACAATTGCGTGTAAATAGTGTTCCACCTATGAAGCGAAATTTACTGACAACTTACAATAAAACACTGTGAACGTCTGTCATTATTCCAGCGGCACACTGCATGATGCATACATGCGGTGTCTCATATTTCACCAACATCTCTGAGAAGATGACAGGTTGACAGGTGAAGCAGTCACCTGACAGACAAGCTCATTCAGCCCTTCCTCTGCTGCATGAACGCAGCCTCCTCTCTCAGGCCGCTCAGTCTGGGCATTCCCTCCTGGATCACGACACACGGGTGTAATGGAAGCTGCAGTGCCCAGTGAGTTGTAAATGGACACCGCCATGCAGGCACACAGATGTAACTCAACCCTCCCAGCAGGCTTTGCAGCACGGGCCATTAACCCTCGGGTATAGTCTCCGAGCTCTCCCACCTCCCTCCTGACACAACCCTAAACCACAGCCAGGGAACTTTCCCTGACCCTGAAGAGAGGACGTATGCGATCCAAAGTCTTTTTTCCTGTCCCTTTTTTTTGTTTTGTTGTTGAAGTATGCATCATTGGAAAGTTGTACCCAGAAATCAAATAAGTCATTTGCATATCGAGTCCTAGATTTACCTGGTGTTGTTATAATGTGAATGTTTTCACTCCAGTTTTCCGCAGTAACTTCCCAGCCAGAGCTGCCTACCAAGTCGCTGCTCTCCCCAGAGTAAGTACAAACAAAACCTGTACACCACCATAGAGCTGCAGTACCCTGTGGTATCGTTCATAGACATCAATACACATGGTGGTGTGGAGATTCATGGTAGCTAGATGCATGCTCATTCATCCGTTCCATGTGTTTTACATCATCCGTGTGCAGCTGTTTTCACTATGAGCGGAGTGAGAAATGGTGCTAATGCATATTGTATTGTTTGTTTGGACTGTAATATATATATATATATATATATATATATATATATATATATATATATATATACACACACACAACTATTTCATGGATCACCATTAAATGTTGTGCAGATATTCATGCTCCCCTCAGGATGAATTGTTATAACTTTGGTGATCCCCTGACTTTTCATTGTGGCATCATCAGGTCTGTTTATAACAGACCTGATGATACCTGCAAAACAAATTCATACATTCCCATCAGCTCAGTTGTACTGTGTTTAGTGCTAATTAGCGAATGTTATTGGTATTACCCACAATGCCTTCCTTTCCTATGTCCTCATTGTCGTCTCCTTTTTGTCTTCAGGGTGGGCTGGTGGAAATTGAGGCGGTTGCTGTTGTCGGTCCTCTCTCAGACTCCTGACTAGACGGCCACATCACAAACAAGTTGTAGTCTAATCATCACATAACCATTTATAGTTGTACCGTGGAAGCCTTAATGTAAAGTTTCTCAGTTGGTCAGTGTAGCTGGCTGACTGCACTTCTAAACTAAAGTCAGTATTATAACACTTTAGATTCAAACCCTTAACAATAGAGCAGCACCTAATTTACCAGATAACACAAAACGTAATGATAAAGTGTGACTGTATCTGTACAACCAGTCTAACATTCCCTGGTCACATTGGCCAGATTCAGGGTCAAATCAACTTCCTCTTTTTTCTTGTTCTGGTTTTTCATCGTCTGTTTTGCTCCAGAGAAACGTATTATTAACACATTATAAAAGTGCAGTTCTCCCTAATAAACCTCTGATCCCAGACTGGTTATTTTGCCCTAAAACACCACTGACATGTGTATTCAACCTGCTTTAAGATATCAAAGAAAGTACATGTATTAGATGTCACTTTTACAGTGGCCTCTTGAATTTTTTGACAGTTCATAGCTTATTACAAATGTCTTTGAGAAAGAAATTCTGACACATCAGAAACAAACCTTTCATGTATACTTTTATCTCATTTGTGCTCTTATATTAATGTTTACAGTCCTCAAAGCTCTTCATATTCATTACAAACATGGTTATAAAATCAAAGCCAGCTACCATATGATTTTTATACCCAAAAAATAACAGTTTAATAAATCAAATTTGGCTTTGGTTTCCTTAGAATTATGTTTGTTGAAAAGTTAAATCAAGAAAATCTGCGATTATAAATTTCTATAAGATAATGAAAGACATTTCAGAGACAGTTTATATATTTAAGATATCCTGAACTGATGACATCTTCTGAAAATAAAAACTAAGTGCCGTAGAACTCTGTATATGTACAGTTTGCTAGCAGAAATTGCAGCCATACACCGTCATGAGGGGAACAAGGCTCAGTGATGGCTGAGGAACCCTGACTGAAAGCATTTTATCTGCATCTTGGCAACAAGGCGATGTCTTTCACACAATAACACCTACACATGCTTTCACTCACACATACAACAAGGTACGACATTTCCAACAAACTCATCTGTGCAGTCGTTTCATGTTGCACTTCATTCACTGGGAGCTGAAAACGAAAAGAGGGGAAGAACGTTTAGGTGACGTTTTTATATGGATCATGTGACACTGTTGACATTATAGCACCACTCACCTGGTTCCTCCTCTGTTTTGGGCTCTGAATCAGTTGCTGTGGCCTCCACTTGCTCTGTTAAGAAAGAAAGAGAAGGATTTGTACATGGGAACAACAAACAATCACATTTTAAAGGTGCGGTTCGCCTGGGGTGTTCCCAGATAAAGGACATGTCAAACATTCAACAGCAGCATCTCTTTCCTTGTTACTCTGGATAATTCAGAGAAGAGAGTGGAATCTCAACCCTGGCCACTAACACATCCAGAGGTGGATGAGCTGGCATGTCCACTCTGCTTATGTGACACTCAATTCTCTCTCTCTCTCTCTCTCTCTCCACTGGCTGTGAAACGAAGGCACCAACGTGGTCGGTGGCCAGTGGAAGCCCTATATGTGTTGGCATGCTCGAGGTTCTCTGTGGACTCAGATTGCACCTTAATGAGACCACGATGGCAACACAAACACACAAACTGCATGCAGGCCGTCCCATGAGGGCGAGTTGGACACCAAAATGGGGGTCGAGATCAAGTACTGAGAAAGGTCAAGGAGAGTACTGATTATTTTATAATACATCTTTAAAAAAATATTTTAAAATGAATTCATAAACTGCAGATGAGTTTTGAACCTGTATGCACTATAGAAGGGATGGCACCTGCAGAGGTGACTGACTGAATAAATGCTTGAAGGTATTGGTAGACCACAACAAAAGAAAAACAGCATCTTTGGAGGCAATGTGCAGTAATCTAAGGATGCAATGTACTGTATTCCTCCCATTGCATAAGCACACAGTGTACTGGCTTTGCTACCTTATCCATCTTTCTTCAATGGCCTGCGTCACAGTGGTAGACACTTTGCATTAGACAGAGAAGAGCTAATCTCGTGAACCCGTCGGCTGCTTGTCATTTGCATCATAAAGCAATAAATGACCTGATAGAAGTCAATGTAATGCAGCACTGTGTCACACAGCTCCCCTCGGAGCACTTCCATGTTTAGATGATCATTACATGTGCAGAGAGATCATCGCTAGTCCCTCTGAAGAGCTCTCTTGGAATTTCGAGCAGGGATCGTTATGTTGCACTCACTAATTTGTAATTTAGCATATTCCCCTGTTACCAGAGCACCAGGAGAGGTAACAGGTTCCGTATTTTCTCAAGAGACTACAAATGCCATGTGCTTAAAAGTATCCTGACTACATCATGTATTCAGCGTGGGAGGAAGTGTTAATGCCGTCCCCTAACAACAGAGCTGTCTTGGCTAAAGACACTGTAATTCAATGCCTTCCAACCATTTTCGTGCTGACAACTTACGCAGATCAGGAGCTAATCCTGCGCCTACTAGTTACAGCCCTTAACAACTTACATTAGTGATAGATCAACAGACTGTTCAGCTTTGAGTCCACCGTACCACTTTATACATCCTACAGGTGTACACTTAGGAAGAATATATTCTAAACACATTGTCAGGACTGCAGCTCAGTGAACAGACTCCTCTGTAAGTCCACAGCTGAATAAAATAATATAATTTATAAAACAATTAGCACAATCTGATAATAGACTGTTCCCTGATTAGGTGAACTCAACCCATACTTACAATGTTGAGACAGATAGTTAAATTCTCACTAAATAATCAGATGTGTGACTAATAAACACATTTGAATGGCCGTCTCAGTGTGTTCCTCATAAGCCATGTCTGTGTGTTGTTGGTTACCGCCTGGTTACCGCCATTGCAGTGGGACTGTAGGAAAGGGCGGAAGGGACATTATGTACCTGGGCGCTGTGGCAGCCCGTATTAATTGGGTCGCTATGCAGGAGGCGAAGCGGTGCTCAGGTTTCTGCCGGTCAACAATAACAATTGTACTTTAGTCCCGAATAAGTTCCCCTTCCCACATTTTGACTATCAGTATTCAATGACCAGTTTCACAGAGGAAGGGCATGATGAGAAAAATGCCCTAAAATCTGTATTTTAATCTTTTAAAAAGCAGTAAAAGCTTTGAATTTTAAAGAGAAATGACATCTTGTAACATTTTCTCTAAAATGTTTCCCCCTATAGAAAACAAGTTGATGTGTCACACACACACAGATAACTACGGACACAAACATGCAGCTACAACCGTATCACCTTTCAGAAGTGTTGAATTGGTGTGATAGTGCATATAAAAGTGTAATTTGCATAGAAAATAAAGCTCACAATTATAATGAGCTTTTTAAGGACTCTGCTAACGGCTTCAAACTGGTCATTTTGCTGAGATAAAGTGAGGATGGTCAACTAAAGATGTTGCAGAAGACTTAAAGGAAAACTGAATCCAAAGTTGAGTATGTTTGTCTGCAGTTGCAGTCTTTTGGGTGTATTGGGTTAGGGTTAGTGATGTTTTTGACTCCAACCTACCTTGCTCAGGAGCTGCAGCTGCAGGCTCTGAGGAGCTATCCGCTGCTTCTGCTTCTGCAGGTGCTGCTGCTTCTGCAGGTGCTGCTGCTTCTTCAGGCAGACTGGCTGCAGCAGGCTGAGGCTCCTCCCCTGCAGGTGGAGCTGCAGCAGTGATGTCTGCAGATGATGCAGCTGCAGCGGGTTCATCTGCTGGCTTTGCATTGCCGCCCTCGGCAGGTGTCTGGTCCGGAATAGTTTCGCTGTCCTCAGCTACTTTGCCATTTTCATTGGCCGCCCCTGTCAGGAACACAAGTATTGAAAAGAAACATGATCCAAACAGACAGTGTGATGATAATGTAAAACTAATATATTACATATAAAACTAGTTCAAATTTACTGACTACTTTGTCTGCAGTCAAGTGCGTCAATTATGTACCATATGGTTTCTGTTCATATCATGATCGAGAAGGCAAAATCTTTGAATGTAATAAAGATGAGAAAGATTATCAAGTTTGCATTAAGCACAGGACCTTTTAACAGAGTGGGAAGAAGTATGACACCAGGGTCAAAGGTCAAGGTAGTATTGTTTTTTTCTGGGGTGACCTATGGTAAACATGTCCCCTAATGATATTATTCTGTCTGCTTTGGGTAGAAACTATCTATTAAGCTATATGTTCAAGCCAAAGCGTTCTGGGCTTAAATCCTTTGTTGTACCTCTTCACCTTGTTTCCTGTCATCTCTTTACTACTGTCTGTAATAAAAGTGTCCCACAAAAAATTGAAGTCTCTAAATCCTAACTTCCAAAGATTAAACTCCAGTCTCTGACCGCTGGATCATGCAAAGATATCACCAAACAAAAAAGAGCAACAACAATGTGTACACTTATCGAGAAACGTAACCATATATGATCAACTGTTCCCCCTTAAAATGACTGGGAAAATGATAAAACATATGTTTTGGCTACATGCCACAGATCATTGGGAAGGAAGTAAGAAATTGAATAAATAGACCCCCCACTGACACGCAGAGGGTTAATCATTATGTGGATTGTTGTTGATTAACATTGACAGCCTCATACTGCACAGTTCACAGCTCTATGGACAGGTTGCTGTGTATTTGATATCGTGCGTGACTACCTTGTACCTCTTTTTGTCTAATGGATTTGCATTGCAGGTATTTGCATGGATCCTAGAAGTCTGGACTGTCAATCGTCTATGTGTGTGTAAATTAGATTAAATTAAATTTTCTCTTTTCATTTCGCATGATATTTGTCACAATACTTGGAGACTGCTTTCTTTAAACGTTTAAATAAATGAACCTCGGGTTAATGGATGTCGTCTCTCTACCTTGGGGATGAAAAGTAGCATCAGGTGAAGGAAATGAGCCTCATGCAAAAAGAAGAAAACACCCTGACACATTTCCATCTGACCTCTAAGACGACGAACAGCTCGCTGGTCAATGCCATTCAGCTGATTAACCTGTAGAGAAATTTGCAAGCAAAGTCAGAGGCTCTGCCATTATCTGCTGACATCAAGGATGAGATACTTTATTGAGAGTAACTCTGAAACTTTTTTTTCAGGGAGGTCAGAGGCCAGTGTCAGCTGCAGGGCATGAGGCTGAACACACATTAGTAGAGTCAGTGTCAGTTCCTCAGCTCACTATATCACTCTACAAAGCACAGTCATACGTACAGTCTACATATTTCAGCATACTCACTTATGTGAGCATGCATGCACGCATGTGTGTCCATGCTTTCATTGCATTGGCCTGTAATATCTCTTTAAGGAATGCAAAGAGAGAAGCAGAGCAAGAGGCACTTGCTCAGAGGGGATCCAACTTAGTGAATCTTTTACCAGTTTTTCACCTGCTTCGTCTTTGAGTTCTGTCAAATAATTCTTCAGCCGGCAGAACTCCAAACAAAGTCACTTGCAATCGCACACAAGATTCAGCCAATATACATATTTGACAGCCTCTGAATGTAAATTAAGTTCCTACTCTCCCTTAACACTGCTGAATGCAAACACAGGATCCAGTGTTGGTGTTTTATCTTGAAATGTGTGCTAGTTTGCACCACAACCGGGCCATCTCGGACCCACAACAACAAAGTGTCCAAAGCGGCTTCTCCATTTCCTGTTGAAACCGTAGACCGTTACCAAATCTGCTTTCATGCCACTGTCTCTCGGGGAGGACAGAGCCAGAAACCACTGTTGAATAATGACAATACACTTTCCCATCCTGTCACTGTGGAGCTCCGGCTCTCTAAAAATACAGACATCAGATAGTGTACCCACAGAGATACATTGGTGATCGTTTGCATGTAGACTGAGACTGGGTCCTTATCAGAGGAGCGTTCACCACAGTATGATTATATAGATGATGTTACCCTAGTTGGAAATGGCAGTGAACTTCCACGATGACACCATTACAACCAACATTTTATAAGGCTATTTATAGCATCAACAGAAATAAAATAAAATAGAAGTGCTTTTATTAATAAATCTGATGTCAATAATCATTTTACACCCATTTTGAGTGGTTTCATCATACAAAATTGATATTTACAGATCCGTCACAGCCATTAACATCTTGAAAGTGAAGCCAGGGATATTGCTTGATCATAACTTCCCGCTTGAACGTTTAGCGATGGATAATTTCACACTATGCAAAAATATATTATTGTTATTTTACATGCAAATTATGAAAGGTCCATGTCAAAATTATTTTTAGGAAGCCATTGCTTCCAATGTACCCTTGACAACATAATATTATTTTGAGAGCAATATTTCAGGTATTATAGTGTTCTGTGTCTGGCCACTTAAAACATGCTTGCAATGAATGCTACCTAGCTGCATATATAACATATATGTGTGCTTCCCACATGTCCCACAAACATATGTATTACATTGCATGAGTGTAAAGCTTTGTCGTCACCTGTTGTGCTGGCTCCGTTGCTCTCCTCGGGTTTAGCACTGGGTCGAGTCGTATCTACCGCTGAAGTTTGAGCACTGGTGGAGCATCCCATCCTGCTCTGTGCACATAGAGGAATGGTTATAACTTCAGAGTTACGAGTTGAGGAGAGGTTGTAACTGCACTGATGACGTCGTGGATAGATATCGTCTCTGTATATGGAGAGAACTCAAAACTATAGACAGATAATCCCCGGGAGGGGAACAAAAAGACACGCTGGTAATACAATTCCTTTAGTCCCGTGCGTAATTGCGCATCATGGTTCTTTCTCAAAAAACGCGTTCCGCTATTTGTTTTGTGGCTACACGTAACTAAACAGTTGCAGGTGAAGTGTGTCTTTTGTTGTGTACTGTAACTTAGGCTGTTTCCAGGAGGCTGGCGCAGGGACAAAAATACATTATTCAGTCAGTGTGCAGCCGCCACCTCTTGGGGCGGGGAAAGGGAACCTGTGGCCTCGCAAAAACTATTAACTAGGCCCACTGTTGATGTGCCTTTGAGCAAAATCTTAATCCAGAGTTAATCTACTGGTAAGTATTGAAATCCTAAATGTAGCAATACCACACTATACTCCATGAGAAGTAAAAGTCAATGATTCATAAAATCCCTAACAAAACCAAAATGCACCTATAAGTATCAAAAGTAAAAATAGTTCCCATTAAGCATCAGAAGAGCGTGTTTTATTGGGTTGTTAATTTTGATACATGACCGTTTGCCATTTTGATGTTGTAGCTAGTTTAAGTCGTTTTGAAAAACCTACGTATATTCTTAGTCAAATCAATAAGGAAATGTATATTATATAGGTAACAATATATTTTGTGTGTAAAATTGATATATGGAATAAAGCTTGAAAAAGATCCCTGCCGTTACAGAAATATAATGGAAAACGATTACTTAGTTAGGCCTTAATATGTTTTTGTTTAACTTTTAATCATTGTCCACGTTGCATTTTGTAAAGTTGATTTTATTTAATTATTCTGCAAATGTTAATTGTTGTCATTATTGTATATATATATTTTAGTATGAGATTATTTTGGGGATTTTGTCTCATTAATACTCGCTGTAGACTATTGTTCATTCGTTGTAATTATATATTTTCAAATAGTCTATCGATTTAAAGTTCTCTGAACCATCTGCAGTGAGTATTCTGCGCAGAACTCGTCTGCGCAGGCCAGCGAAAAGATAGCAGCGCAATGCACCATGGGACTTCCTTTCTCTCCGAGGCCATATTGGAGTTAACTTACAGTAAGACGAGCTCTCAGTTTTTTGATTAAAAGTAACCAGGATTTATTAAATTTTACATTTTGTTACCATCCAGCCATTAACGATAGTCTTCTCCTTCCCTCCTCTCGCCCGCAGGTTGGCCGGTCAGGACTAAACCGCAAAAATGGTGGCCGCAAAGAAAACGGTAAGTGGCGTTGGCTCGGCCCGTAGTGCACGCGCTGCTTTAGGGCCAGGCTGCTGCTTCACGTGGAGACGTGTTTCTGTCAGGGCCTGCTAGCTAGCAATGTAGCTCTCCGTGTAAACGTATTATTTAAACTCAAAGTGTATATTTTTTGTGTTGAGTCAATTCGGCTGCAAATATATGAAAGCATGTATCGACCGTCTCTTCGTTTACTCCCGTCCACCGTCTGTTTGTCGACTAGTAGCTATAATACTGCAGCGGTATAACACCGGCAGTGTAGCTAATGCTACATTGCTAAATCTAACAGAAACATGTCAATATGGTGTCAACAATCCCTGCTAATTGTACGTTATCAACATTAAATGTGCTGACCTCCTTGTGTTCGTTTGTTAAATGGCAAATGTATTATTCCACAGTTTGGTTTAGTGTGAACGCGACGATGACCAAAAGCTGCAGGTTAGATGGCGTTTCATAGCTTGTGTGCTGTCACTAACTTGAGGTATGTGTATCTGTTTGTTCAGAAAAAGTCCATGGAGTCTATTAACTCCCGTCTCCAGCTGGTGATGAAGAGTGGAAAATACGTCCTGGGCTACAAACAGTCCCAGAAGATGATTCGTCAGGGAAAAGCCAAGCTGGTTATCCTGGCCAACAACTGCCCAGCCCTCAGGTATATAAGGAATATCAATACATTCATATGTATTCTATTAATGTATATAATTATATTTGGTGTTAGTTGTTGTTAGCAAGTAGTTACACCAGAGTGTTAATGTGACCAATGAGTCATTATGGTTGAAAGACCATGTAGCATCAACAACTTTATATTAGCACCCTGCATTCTCAAGGTGTGCTGGTGCAAAGTTATGCTACATGTTCAAAGAACGATTTCAAAACTTCTTATTTATTTTAAACCAGTTAGTCTGATTTCTGTTAAGGCATCGGAGCCGTTTCACAGGTCGGCTTCAATGCCGATGTTGTGAAGCACAACAGGTCTAAAAGGCTGATTCTATTGAAATGTGTCCAGTTAATCACTGATTATTGGTGTTAACAGATTCAAAGGTAGCATGTCTTGTCTCTTTTTTTTGGGCAACGTTTCTGTATTTGTATCTGCTGCTTTGACTCACATTTTTCCCTTGTCTCTGTCCCCTTCAGGAAATCTGAGATTGAGTACTATGCCATGCTGGCCAAGACTGGTGTCCATCACTACAGTGGAAACAACATTGAGCTCGGCACAGCCTGCGGCAAATACTTCAGGGTGTGCACACTGGCGATCATTGACCCTGGTGAGTACCTACTCAGTATGGTGCATTTGATTTCTAAACTTTATCCTTTCGCCACAAACATTAAGCTTTGCGATTGAGCTTTTTGGGATATTGTCCTCTGAGGAGTGGTCCCAGCGAGTCCGTTTGACAGACCGTAACCTCTAAAAACACCAATAAAGTTTTCAATCACAACACTGTATTTCAGTGATTCGTGACAGAATATGCATTTCCACACATGTTCGCCTATATGCGTATTAGTATTCTATTACCAACACAATGGCTTTCAGCACATCAATTCAAGATACAGAGAGGTCAGGGGAGAATGTGTTTATAACGTGAGATTCATTGTTTTCTTTAATGTAATTTAGTGGCTTCTAATGTGAAACAGTTCTGTGTTTGACATGCAGCTCAACAAATGACACTGCAAAAATGTCTCTATTGACCAAACTTAAAATATTTTGGGTCACTTGTTGAATAGTCACTTTCCTCTGTGTGAACTTTTTCCCTGTTGGACCTGCTCATGAGGTATGGTCCAGGTCAGGACTGGTGGTTCGTTAGATGAGTCTATCAGTGCTAATAGAAAATATTTTTATGCAGGGATATAGTTGGATGTCTTTGCATTGTGTACGTGACAATTTTTCTTTGCTCTGCTGACTTTTGTTTGTTCCTTTCCTCTTCAGGCGATTCTGACATCATCAGGAGCATGCCAGACCAGCAGCAGCCACCTCAGTAGAGCTGGTCCCCCACCCCGTTGTTATAAATAAAGTCGGCGTTAACAGTTCATGCTGCCATCATTTCTTTTCTGATATCAAGATGCATGACACATCTGTCCAGAGACAATCCTGCAGGTGTCCACCAGAGAGCATCAGTATCGTCTTGACTTTCTCAGATGACGTTATTCAATTAACAATTTCAATGTCCGCGTGAGGGATTTCCTCTCAATTCTATATCACTGTTTACAATATGGGACTTAAAAGCAGAAGACTAGGAGAAATAATTCTGGACACCAGATTTTAAACGGTTGATCTTGAGAGTCAAAAAAATCTTTTAGAGTATTTATTTTCTAACTTCCGTAAACCTCGGGGATGACGGTCAGCCGTATTAGCTGGGTGTAAAAGAAGTAAGGACTCTCCTTTCAGAGGTATTAAAGGATTTAAGAGTGTGACGTCTGCCTCTGTCACACAAGCCAATGAAGTCCTCTGGCTTGAGTGTGAGAGAATATACTGACCAATACTAAGAAGACAAACAAATAATAAAATGGATCGAATTTGTTGGATCTATTTATGTTTAGTGTCTGAGCCAAGCAGACTTTAAATAATGGAAAAATGTCACCATGAATCCAAATTGAATGGCCAAAAATCAGTCCTTCCAAATCATGTTTGCTGTAAATTTTTAAAGGCAGTCTTGTTGAAAGAGGCTGTGTTCACACCACGAATGGGTTGGAGCTCTGTTAAATACTTGACTTGAGAGAGCGATTAATAGCGTGAAAGACTGCCTTGCTGAAGGGCAGTTTGGTAGTATTGGTGGATAAAGTCATCTGTAACTGCTGATGGACATAAAACGGAGGCTAACTAAAGCCTTTTTGGGCTCTTTCCAAAGAAAATAATTGAATAGTTGACAAAACAATCTTCACTCAAGGTTAACATAATCTCTTCACCATATCAAGCTCAACTTCAAAGCCTAAATGAATAACGAGTCCACCTACAGCTCCATGAGGACTGAGAATGGCATGTGCTCATTAGGACCATGTGATGAGAAATATAATTTAGGATCTTGCCTAAAAATCATCCGTGCTATTTTCTTATGCATGTTTTAAATTAATTTGAGGATTCATCAAATGTAACCAGATAGAAACTGTTAATATGAATGTTTTTTACAGCAAATGAATACTAGGAACAACCTGAATACCAACAAGATATAATATAATACTGGAACTTCAGATCTAGACCAGATGTCCGTGCCATTGGCCTAAGTTTGAAACTCTGATGCATCGTCCCAGAGACGGAGATATAAGCCGTCCGCCACCCATCCAGTGGTTTGGCCCAGTTTCTCCACTCACTGCTTCCCTAAGCTGTTTTCTTGATTCCCAATTAAATCCAATGAAATCATCCCAGATGATCCGTTTCACGTGCGGCAGATGCCTCGCACCGAATGAGGACAATTTCTAAAGCGGTTGTAGAATAAGATTTGAATTAACAAGTGTAAACAATCTGCACCATAAATAGAACGTAAAGCCTGTTGAGGGCCGTACAGCGTCCTCCAACACATTCATTTTTGTTTTTTACTGATTGTGTCACATTTTGGCTGATTTCAAATTGTGTTATTTCCAGTTTATGTAGAACAAAGTCATTTGAATAAAAATCAATCACGGTCACAAGGCAGCAGAGTGTCAGGCCGTGTTGCTCACTAGAGTAAAGTCAGTATTGAACAGTTCTCACCTCAGTGAACATTTACAGGGTGCTAAGTGCTTTATATTCTCACACACAACATTGATCATAAACTTCCCTCATTGTCATAACAGACAGGAAATTACATAGGAAGTTTTATATCCTTATGGGACGCATTTAGTAGGTTTATTACTGGGAACTAAGAGTTCAAAAATATCTAATCTTTATTCATATCCTAGATATTGTATTTAGTGATAAGAACATTTTAAATGACAATTTAAAGGCTCTCCAGGTCATACAAAGTCTGCAGACAGATTTTACAAAAACACTCTAGGGCTCTTGTGTCCTCTCACAGCGGATGTCACTGTACAGCCCTCTATCTGCAGCCAACAAGCAAGAAAAGAGACAGAGTGTGACCCATTTGGGTTCCCCCCCCCTCCTCCTGCCCCGTCCCAGTGGCAGAAAGTACGTGAGCGTGTCTGTCTGGTGGCCTGCTGTCAGACCCAAGGTAATGCCAGCGTCCATTTTGAGGCATGCGAGTAAATCCTTGTTGATCTGCCAGCTTGTTCCTCTCACACTGAATTTCCGAGGGCAGCAGGATGTACGCACATGATCAGCATCACAGTCATACTCTCAAAACTTGACTGTTTTTATGGCAATATATATTAAGTAGATTAAGTGTACAATTTGTATATATTATTTATCATTTTTTTTGTGATAAATGTTACTTTTAAATTAAAACAAAGGATTAGCATTAGATGTGGCTTTAGAAGTCATTTCTTGGCATTGAATCAACCCAGTCAGCCTCTGGTGAACCACTGTGCCTTATCGAGTGTTTTTTCCTAAGATGCCAACAACCCTATCCCAAGATACAGACACTGTAGTTTGAATGAGAACAGCATTTTAGCTTCAGTCAGCTCCACATAACTCCATATTGGACAATTCTGAATCTCAGTTTAGCACTCAGTTTCACACTAACCAGCAAACATTGGTCTTCCTCAGGTCCACGCCTGCAAAAACATTTCACAGGGCACAAGTGGAAAAGCACAGGTGTAAATGATTAAATTAACGACGGCTGAATTCCATGGTTTTAGGGTGCTGGTATTATGCATGCTGGAGTCATCGTTAGTGTTATTAGAGACACCTGTGTTAAAGTGTCTGCTGTAAAAAAAAAAAGAAAAAAGAAAGAGGTCCATGTTGAAGATTAATTTTGATTTAAAACAAGAAGATGGAGAACAATAGATTCATTATGAAAAAAAGTTAGTGGCAATAATATGCCATTTTCTTACCCCCATGGCTAATTTAAATAATATAAATAATTAATTAAAATAATTATTTATATATATATATACATATAAATAACAGTACATTTCTGAATATTTTTATTGGTTCTTTTCAAGAAACAAACTGTTGACTCAATTAATGAATCCAGAAGCAGACAGCGGCTGATTTTGCTTTTTATTATTGACAATTGAAGACATGAGCTCATGCAGATCCAACAAGAGGATGTGTGTGAATGGAAAGCAATGGAGCAATGAAGCGATTCTAATAAAATGAGACACATCAGCCATCCACTGGTCCAGATACTGTACAAGCCTCTTCTCTAAACCCTGCAGCTGAAATCCTCCTTCAGTCACTTTACAATCGGCAGCTTTTCGGTCACATCACACAATGCCAACATAGACTGATGTCGTGTTTTAGAAGCTTGTACCGTCCAGAAGAGGGTGGCCGGTCATATTTAGAACCACTTATCTACAGCATACTGTGGTAAAGGTGAACACAAACAAAAACACATCAGTTCCCACTGAGCTCACGCTGACTTTAAAGTGCAATTTAATGTTCAGCTTTGTTGGATTTGCAAAAGCAGTGGTCAAAATTCACAAAGGGAAAATGACAAAAGGGCCAACAAATGTCTGGCTACATTATGAACTACAGTATTAGTATCAGCTGTTGAATGCATAGTCTGAAGTCGACAGCACATACTACGCAGGAATTATTGGAAAGAATTGGATTAGGTTTATCTAATATCGTTTGTTCCATTATTATTTCTGATAATTGTCTGAATATTTCTAGGCAAAAGACAAGCATCTAGCTTCATATATTGTATATTGATTTTGTGCTACTACGCTAAGCTAAATCAGTGCTTTAGATTTCCATCCATCGTTAATTTCAAAAAAAATCACCAGCGCAGGAAATATGTCAACAACACTACATCACTGCATGTGCAAAGGAAATGTTACTACATATAAAAGGTACAAGGAGTTACATCATAACGTCACACATAGCACTCAGGCAAACACATAAACGGTCTCTGCATGTACAGCCAGCATGTTGCGCCGCCTTCATAGGAAAATGCCCTCAGTCCAGCTAAGTTAGCTCAACTAAAAAGATCAGATTATACACCATGATCCATGTAAAAAAAAAAAAAAAAACACACACACAATAGAGCAGCTCGATGGGAACACAAGACAGACATTTTAACACACTCATGTTTGCACATGTTAGATTTTACAGTATGTGTATTGCCTTTTTGGGTGCGAGTCTGTCGCGTGAGAAACATTTATGTTTGTGTGCTTCAAATTACACTGATGTCTTTCTCAGCTTTCGAGATCTCGGAACGGACAGGAAATGGACAGGAAGGCAAACTGGAATATTTTGATTGAGAATCAATGGATGAAGAAGGATTTTCACTGGCAGTCAGTGGGTTACAGGTTCACAGACAGTGAGTTACATGGATAGAAAAGGAAGACGGTGTTGATACTGGTCGAGAAACCTTTTTACAAAACGATTTCCTGCCGGACAAGCGACAGCAGTACACGTATGATATCACAAGAGGAAAGCCTTTCACTACTCACTCCCTTTTCTCTCCGTTTTTTTTACTGTTATACAAAAATGTCATACAAAAATACCTCGACATTACATTCAACGAAGGAATTTGTCAATTTCTGAAAAAAGTGCTCTTGCATAACTGATCATGTATGTCGCTTTCCCTCTCCCTCTCTCTGTCACTTTCTCTCTCTCCAGGTAGTTTCTAGACAAAGACCGCGAGGGAGATTCACAGTATTGGGGGATTAACAGTTGGTGGCCAAACCGGTGCACGTTTCACTCAAAGAAAAGTGCAAATTACGTTGGGACAGAGTGTTCAGGGGGGGTGCAAGAGTTGACATGCTGCCAGGGGACGGCAGCTGCCAAGAGAGGGAGCGTCGGTAGCGGTTGGAGTTGCTGCGATACTGTCCTCGAGTAGGACAGAGGAGACGAGAGGCGAGGAAAATACGTCACAACGACCAGAGTGTTGGTGGTGGAGGGGAACGGTTGATGATAATACTGGCTCAGGGTCACCCTAATCTAATCAAAGGTTGGCAGGAATCCAAGCTGAAACCAGCCTCTAAGACTTTTGTCTCGTTTTCAGCATGTTCCAGCCAGCGCTGGGGTCTTGCGAGGACGTCACTCATGCCTCCATATACTGGGGAGGGGGCTCCTTCGGCGGTATGGCAAAGGCCTCCTCGTACGGTGGTAGCAGAACCTGAAACATAACGGATAACCAGAAAGCGTCTTTCAGTTTCAAAGCATACCTCAAATACATCTTTATCCATTATGATGATTGGGCAATTTTTGTGAGGACACTATAAAATGCAGAAATGGCATGCACACACTCAGAATTAAGATACAGTTAATGTATATTGAAAATAGGAAGTGATTTCAGCCACAGCCCAAGTAACTGCTGCAGGTTTCTTCTCCTTCTTTCATACATTTCTAGCTGCAAGGATAACTTCCACACACATGCCTGGGCTTTAGAGGCCAGATTGTGTTCTCTCCATCAGAGGGTTTTTCTCTATAAATGTTGTTAGTGTTATAAAACCAGCACTGCTGCTAATTCAGTGAGAGCGAACGAGCGAGAGAGAGAGAGAGAGAGAGAGAGAGAGAGAGAGAGAGAGAGAGAGAGAGAGAATATGCTCGGAGGGGATGGAATTGTGAAGCAGCCAGGGAGGCCCGCCAAACACATCACTGGGAGGATTTGAAATGAAGCGGACAAGCAGACAATTATGTAACATGTCCAGAAGAAGAGAGGAGGATGGACAGAGATATATAGAGAGAGGGGGGATGGGGGGGGAGACGACCCTTGTGCATTTTAATGGCATTTATATAAAAGCACGGCAGATAAGCAGCTGGGTACTTGATGTTAGAGGCAGTAAAAAGCCATTCAGACACACTGCTGGCTCTCCAATAGTAGAAATAGATGGGGCGCTCTATTCATTCAGCTCTGTGTGCGGAGAGAAGGAATGCGGTGATAAAACCATGTCGTCACTATTCATGCTTTTATGAGGTTAACCTGCGTAAAAAGGTGAGCTGCAGATATTTGTTGCATTTAAATACTTCTCCAATTAAAATTCACACAGCTTGTGCCGAGGCCTTCGCTCTGACCTAGTTGCCTCGGTCGCTGTGTGTTCTTGGTTTCTGATTTGGGCCCAAAACACATTTGCTAAAAATATTAAGTTCATAAGATTCCTGACTGACACATAATACACGATATTTGGTGACATGATACACAATATGATATCACTACTGGATTAGTTGCTGCAATAAGAGTCTTTTTTTTTTCTTAAGTTGAAAAAACGTCAGCAGTGTGAAGCAGGGCCACGACAACAACAACAAGGACAAAGCGACATGCAGATGAGGTGCTATGTATTGAGATGAGAGCTTGAGAGAAACAGATTAATGTCTTGTGTATCAGTGTGGAGGATTACAGACGGACAGACAAATGGAAACCCGTGACTATGCTAAAGCCTCTCAGAAAGCCCATGAGTCAACACTGAAGGGGACAAGTGGGATGGACGACACCCGGCTCTACACAGCCAGCCAATCACACCTCAGCACGACCTACAGCACCTACAGTGCTGCTACTCACAGCACCAATGTCAATACACTGACTGTCACACAACAGAGGATAACTGCGTTCACCTTCCCAGTTCTACTGATAATTTGCAATACATCTCCTAAAGTGATATGTGTAGGTAATATAGGATATCATTTTTATTTAATCACCATAAATAGGTCTCAATTTCTTGCTAATCTTCATATTAAGCAAATCCTGAACATTTCTAACTGCAGGTTCTGACTTCTCTCAATCTGGTGTCATTTCTTATTTGGCAATTATTAATTAACGGTTAAAATACTACACATAGCATCTTCACATGTACATGTATGTAAGGACTGTGACATGACAGATATTATATTATTATATGGTGATTTTATCGCTGGACCTCACTAACCTGAACCTCTTTGGAATGGAAAAGTTATTTGATATGGGAAATGACTTGACTGCCACGAAATACACAGGCAAAGAATAAAATATCTTTTCTTAATATACAGAATGTAAATATACAGATACAGATGATAAATGATCAGATTTTTTTCTGTTCTTCTTATTGAAACAATCCATTAATTGTTGTGAAATCGTCTGTCAGTGAAATGATTTTCCAAGCGGAACAAAAAATCCCTTCCTGTCTTTCTGCGTTACATGGATTCATTTAACTTCTCAAATGTGAGGTTGGGGTTAACGAAGTTGTTTGAGAATTTGCATTTAATAGTTATAAAAATGAAATCTATTTTTTCAGGCTCTAAATTGCTGCTCTAAGCACAATTCACGCTCTATAATCATAATGGTGCAAGTAATGCCTACGATCCTTACCTTGTACATTTAGAGGTATCAACTCATTGAGCTGCAATAACATACAAAAGCAAATTTGGTTCACAGCTGAACATAGAATCGGATAGACTGTAATAAAGTTAATGTGCCAAGCAGGGTAATTTTGGGCTATTTTTGCCCCAATGTTTGAAATTTGGAGGCCTTTGCATACACAAGCACACATTTGTTTTGCCCCATTGATTGTGTACAATGGGGCAAATACCTAGAATTTGGAATCAATTTGGCCCGCCGCCCCGATTATCTCCATGCATAGTGATATAAAAACACTTCAAAGCCTTTATGGAAGTTATCTTCCCCTTATGAAATGAACCGAAAGCTTGTAAGCCACCAAAATAAATCAATGCTGCAACAAATGCAATTATACTATGACGTGAGTGAGGGTGATTTTCAGGGTGTCCTTGAGGCTGAGGAACTAGAGGGTGGATGTGATTACTCACCGCGGTGTCATTGGTGGTGACGTAAACCAGGACTTCCGTGGTGCCCCGGCCGCTCACGTATCTGTAGCAGTTCCACACACAGCCAATCAGGTAGGCCTGTCCCCGGAGAGGTGCAAAAACAAAGACCACACAGTGAACTTCAACAGCATTGTCTCCACTTTTCATTATTACTGAGGCTGCTTTGCTATGATGTCATCCATTCATCAAGGTTGGGGATGCTGACGGCAGACATGCATCACGTCACTATGTGATGAAAACTGTGATAAATTAGCTACCTCTGCAACAAGGAAGGTCAGGGATACATGACAATTTGATACAGTTGTACAAATACAATGTTGCCTTTCTTGGTTGCCCATTAACATTTTAGCCAAGGCAACTCAGCAGGCATCTCCTGCCCTCAGTATAGCTATGGTAGCACTGGGGTTTAGGTCCGTCTGGCTTGGCAGAAGAACAGGAGGTTCATTGTGTATGTGTGTGTGTGTGTGTGTGTGTGTGTGTGTGTGTGTGTGTGAGTAGCCCGCTGTGTCGGTACCTACGCCAGCAGTAAGCGCAACCGACTGACCAAGTAACCAGACTGCCTGCTCGCCAATCACTTTACCATCTGCTGAGGTGACCTCTTCGCTGTGATACCAACTCTCTAACATTTTCAATCACAACGACAATGTGCTAGGCTGGCGCTGCGCATCGCTACAAAGTCTGAGTTTGACCATCTTGCCCATATAATTCCTGTTTCTGTATCCATCCAACCGTCTGTCCATGTGCGTCTCTCTATCTGCCGCATCCCTCCCTTCTCTCTCCAGCTCTCCTTCTTCCCGCCTGTCTCTATCTGTCATGTATGCTCAGTGCAGTCAAGTGTTGGCTTCGGCAGGAACTTCAGCAGGTGCTGCCTCTGTGCTGAGAGCCGAGGTTTCAGATCTGGCCCTTGTCCAGGGAACTGACTCAACTATCATCGGCACAGTAGCCAATGTATACTGTACGTGCAGCCTATCAATAAAAATGGGATTCTATTCATTTAGCTTGGCAAACTTCAGGATTATATTTATGTTTATAGCACACACAAAAAAGTAGTTCAACTGCCCCATGTACTCTGTGCAGCAAGGCTCTCTGCCTGAGACATGACCTTTATAACTCTTCTCTCTCTGTAAGTCCAGCAGTGCATCTTCCAGTGGCTGCTTTCTATCATAAAACCCCGGCTCTGGCTTCGGACGTCAGCCGAGAGCATTTCCAATCTGAGCTTGGAGAAGAAACGACCTGATTTGATTGTACAGATGACTGGAACTTCCTGTCCCATCTCGTCCCAGAGCATAGCTACGCCTAGAGAGTCATCCATGCATTAAGGGGGAGTTAGCTTGACAGGAGTTTGTTTCCTGTTATCCCTGACCTGCTGCTCTCTGACTGTGTGGTAATCTCATGAAAAAACATTGATAATGGGATTGTTCACACTGGCAGATTTCATTACACATGCCATATGGTTCATACTGCATGAGGTGTGCACAGAGCGAGACTTAATTGCCTTAATCACGTTGCAATACGATGAATAAATCTATAAAAAAGGGCAGTTCAGAGAACAAATGTTCAGTGTGTGGGTGTAATGTGTAGACATGTGTTGCATCATCAATTCATTTTCAAAGTATACCGTTTTTCTATTCATCTGTTTGGACGTCATTCAGAGGGATGTTGTGGATTCAATTACAAAATCCAAAACAAAAAGGCCAAAGATGGGCAGATTGGGAGAATCTGCAGTGACGAAGAGACTCTGTGGGCTTACCTTGAAGGAGAGGATGCAGCCAATGAAGAGGAGGACTACAAAAATGAGGCACATGTTGTTGGTGGACATGATGTCCTCTTTGTAAGGGAATGTCCCCGGCTGGAAGGGAGGGAGGGATATAAATCACATAAATAAATGTCAGAAGATAAACAAAAGACAGGAAGTGTCCTTTTACAAATCAGCACCTGACAAAACCATCAGTCCTAAACAACCAACAAGTTAAATGGACTCTTAAGCTGCATCTGAGACCTGTGTTATGCCTGGTCTTTTGACTATATGTATATGTATATATATATAGTCAAAAGTCAAAACGATATAGTAGCAGAAGTATATAACAGTAGTAGTAGTATAGTCTTTAAAAGTAGCTGTTGAAGGGAAATAGTTCTCACCAGCTGCTGGAGGTAGTCCTGCACCGTGTTGGGATAAACAACCACACTTATGGCTACCAGTGTGTTCAGGGCAAAGTCAAAGATTTGGTAGCAGAAGAATGGAATGATCCAAGCCGCATGTTGCTATGTGGGAGAGATTGAGAATAGATGAAGAAAGCCAGTAAGAACAAGGGCAGGATGTTGTTGTTTTTCAAGGTCAGATCGTTTGTTTATTTACCTTGTAAGCACCATATGTTGCCATGCCACATATAAGAATCATGAGCAGGGATATTGCAGTGGCTATGCAGATATCTGTAGAAGCAAAAACACAAACAAACACAACAATGTGAGAACAGATAATCTAGTTTAGTGGAAAAACAGCCATTATATTTCACTTGAACTCTTAAGTCCACTGAGGTAATCCAAAAGTCTTCACGAGGACGTGGATTTTACAAAACAAAAGCACCTTAAGTAACCTCGCTATTTTTAGCAGTCAATCTGCCTTGGACAAAACATGATCAGCAGCATGTGGCTAATTGTTATGCAAGACGTGCCAAATGTAACACCCCTCTCACGTTCACGTTACAGCCGTAAAAACTGACAGACGAGATGCCTGTCAGTAGTACAGGGCTCCACTGACATCAAGTTAAAAACAGGATATCTGCATGTGTCCTGTTTGGTGAAAGGGATCCAAAATTCACCATGCAGCAGTTATCAAGAAACAGTAATAGCTGTGAAACAGTGGAATCAATACATCCCTGGTGGGGTTTTTTTCTCAGCATTGTCAGCATGAAAACATTTCAATTTCCATGACTCATGAAGGACGGAGAGCCACGTCTGTACATCATCGTGACTGTTGGTGAGCACCCAGCAACATTGCCTTGAACAGAACTGATGCCGTGTTAAGACCCAGGAAATGATGATACCCTTCCATCTTAATCCCTCCCTTGCCGCACACACACTGGATACAAGGACAGATGTTAACACATACTATATATGAACAACACATGCAGACATAAATGCACTGCCACCCCACACCTACAAAAAAAAAAAAGTCGTCCACACGACGCTATCAGTCAAGACGGCCCTTTTAAATCCGATAGAGAATTAGAGCTCGTCGTTTTTTTTTTTTTTTTTAATCAGAGTAGCCAGTGACGGGGTCTGCGGTGCTCCAGAGGCGACTGTGACGATGATAGCTGCCGGAGGGGGGAAAATACTGAAAACACGCATTCACGCTGATGTGTTCTGTATGGAGCCGAGCCTACTCAGCTGTGTCTGTGCTGAGAGCTGCACTGTGGGAAAAGAAGTGGTGGGCAGAACGGAGAGGGGATTTCAGAGCTGCAGAAACACATGGGGATGTGTGTGCTGTTGATTTGTACGGCCACTGTCATACAGAGCTGGGAGATAAACCCCAAATAATAGGGCCATTGAACATTGATTTTGTCTGGATATGTACTAACTGTACTATTTTGATATGGCTTACATTTGTATTCACATTCTTAGAGTGTTATTATTAGACGATTCAAGCTGTGTAACATCAACATTAAATTAAACATATGTGCTCTGGGAAGAGATAAATGCACTGAAGACCAACACAGTGTTGGAGTTTTAGGATGTCATTCAACTTTTTTAGCCACCTTGTGTCACTAAGGTCACACAGACTCCTTATCTAAATTGTGTACCATGCAATAAAAATGGAAATAAATTGTCTTTTGGCATTATTGTGGGGGTATTTTTTTTCTTTTCATGTGGAATAACAAGCACGCCTCATTGAGGACATCTAATCCATGATATGCCACGTCAGATATGTAGCGTTGAGGGGATTCGTTGCACTCACTTGCATCGTCCATGACATCGATGTCAGTTCCCAGCTCAGTGCTGGTGAGGTGGTACCGGTATTGAACCGGGTCATTGAGAGCCGACAGCAAGATGAGTAGGACCACCGCATTGATGAGCTGTGGGGGAAATAAAGATCGATATTAACAATACATTTCATATTGGAGTTTTCCCTTTTTTAGGTTCTTGGGTTAACCTCCTGAATTAATTGATCAGATGGATCGGAGCTTTTTCTTGGAGTGTGACGAAAGTAATTGAAATGAAAAAGTTTTAGACAGGTTTTTGAATGAGTTACTCTTTATGATATGATACAGGCCAACAGCTCAATTTGTTATTATTCATATTATTAAGTACTCCATTGGTTCTTTTGCTGATTAATTATTAGAGAAAGTCAAAGATACCAATCAAAATGCAGATTCAAAGTGCTTGTTTTGTGCAAACTAAATAAATTGAATTCACAAAAATGGAGAAAAGCAAAACATCAGGTGCTAGAAAGAAAACTGTTATGTGTGAAATTGAGATTTGTAGAACTGCTGCACAGGTTCAGTGCAGCATCTGCCCAACCAGCACGATGAGAAGAAATGACCATGATCCTGTACGTCAGTGTTGGATATCAAAACACCTCATGGAGGCAACATAAAGTCTGTTTTCCTGGGATTGGCTGGACGACGTCTACTTGATTAGTAGCAGGGTCACAGAAGAGAGTGGGACTTAAAGGTCGGGGATTTAACAGGCTTACTGAACTATGTTTGCAACTTTAGGTTATCCCGTGGTTAAAACCGGAAGCAAACTCTATATTTAAACCGCTACAAATATAGAACAAATCAAATGTGATGGGCTGGTAAAAGTTGTTATTTCAGCACAACAATAAGTGAACGTTAACTTTAAAGGTAGCTTATAATGAATAACGTTACAAACTGTGCTTATATATCTTATGTGCTGATGCTATATTCATTAAAATACATACATATATATACTATAAATAAGAGCTTTGATCGGAAATAGTGGCGGTTGATTAACTAACACTGTAGTTTATATGTATCCACTAACACCCGAGGACATCCTCAAAATGGCAAATCACAAAAACAAATGAAAAACAGCAGTAACTTCGCTGTCTATTTGAGCTATTTCAGTCAAACGCAATCGATATTTATCAATTATTCAATCTAATATTGTACATATTTACTGTATTTGTGGACATTTGTGCCTGACATCGAATGAAAACCTCACTCACCATGTACCATATCCCCAGAATAATGGTGCCTGTCCGTACATGGCAGCACAGGCAGCAGCTCGTCGAGTACCACCGGTCCCACGGAGAAATCATCGTTGATCCTGCTGCGATGTTCACGTTATTTTATGAATGCCACCAAAAGAAAGAAATGAATTACTCAAAGCTACAACGTGCTAAAAAAAAAAAAAAAAAAGGTGGAATACTTGGCGTCCTTGGTGCTCGGACCGCCACATCCAGTGTATGTTAGAGACGATGTTTCTGCTGTTTCTGCGAGTGTGGACTCCTGACAAACACGGAGCGTTAATCTGGCTCTCTCATCCCCGGGAGTCACGTGACCAGGGGGGGGGGGGGTTCTGACCAAAATGCGAGGGATGGATGCCACATGATTTATAATCGCACAAGATATTTTTCTTTTTCGTCAGTGTTGGTTTCTTAATTGGGAGAATTTGAATGGTCTGATATAGCTCCCCAACATGTGTATCAACACTTTGACAGCCTCAATGTAATTAGTGGTTGGTGTGGGTGTGAATTTGTTCATGCATGCGTTGGGTATATTCAATTTAAGTCAGTGTCATTGAAAGAGATCATTCTTTCAATGACACTGGTATAAGATATGCCATGGGGTGTTATGATTTGTGTTGCGTTTTAATGGGAGTTGGAAAAGTTCGACCAAAAACCCCAAAACCAAACAGATAAAAGGTCGTAAACCATACCTCTTTAATTTGAGAAGTCAGACAGAGTAAAGCCACTTTTGGGTTGAATTTAGGATTAGAAGTCAATATCACCTGACTCGAGTCACAAGCTAAACTGGCCGGGAGCCACGAGTCCAGAGTTACTGTTTTTGACTCCCATTTTCAAACCTCAGCAAGAAGAAAAAGTTTGCACATCAAAGAAAATTCCATGAATTTTGACAAATGTAACCCTGAACATGCCCTGAAAACATTACCTAACTTTTTTGTGATCAGTGATTAAGCAGATGTATAACTCATATGTTACTATGGTCCTTAAACACAGGACTTAATTTAGCCGGAGGCCTTTGCATGTCTCCAGTGCAGGGCTGAATTATGGACCTTGCTCTGGCCGTGCTCCAATACAGCTGTTACACTTTGCATGAAGCAAGTGACATCCTCTAAAAATAAGGCCGGTGGCCCAATTAGTGTCATGTTAATTTAGCTCAATCTATTCTTGACACCAGTTTGATTCACATCGAGACCTACAGCACACTGAGATGATGTCACCACGATAGCATTGTTCTTCTCTTTTTGATGAACTCTCAAACTAAATATAGTGACTACAGATTGATGTGTTTTATTGCAGTGTTAGAACAAAGAAAACAAGCGTTTCATTTCATGTCACTCTGTCTCTGTGCAAACATCCTGGACCAAGCCTGACAGATGGGCCGGTGACAACAGCTCTAAGCTCTGGTGGGTGGACCGCATCATCGTCACATAAGGGGATTTTCCTCTCCTGCCATGACTTAATACTGACCAGACTGCCACCTCTTATAAATGCTGGAACGCAATCTGAAGAAGACTTAACCAACGGATGGTTCATTTTTTCCCAGCATTAAACATTTTCCCATTTAACTTACTTCAAAAGAGTGCGTTTGAAATGTTAAACAGATGTATTTACGTATGTGTAAAGAGAGAGAGAGCTTTGACATACTGACTGGAAATACAAAGTCTTATAATCCTTTCTTGTCAGACCCGCAGAACAATACAATCTCAAAGCCAGTGTTCGGGTGAACTGATTTGTTAGTTTGGCTGTAAATAGTCACCGCTTTCTACTGACTTGTTTCAGGATAGAACTCTGTGAGAAGCCAGTGGGTTTCAAACACGTGGGACTTTGGATGGATCTTTTTTTTTTTTTTTCAAACAGCATTAGCGAGTGATTTTCATAGCAGGGGTTTGAGCAACTGCAGTACCACCCATTAGAGAGTGACCTTTACTAGTAACATAGCGGCCTTTCATATACACACACACACACAAACGGGACTGATGAGTACAACAATCCTCTGGCAGGGAAGAATGATTAAAAACAACAACAACAACATGATATCTCTGTGAAGTGAAGGTGAATAGACAGTGAGCCAGAGATTGACAGAGATTAAAAACGGGTAAATCCTAAATGAACAGAGAGATGGAGAGATGGCGAGACTGATGAGATGGAGGAGGTCAGGCTCTGGGAGCGTACCATGCGGTTTGGCGTCAGGACGATCACAACACTGGCTGCTCACACAGATTTGCTCCATGACACAGTGAATCCTCATTGTATTAATCACAGATTTGGGATTAGTTTGAGAGAAAACATGAAAACAAGATGCCAGAGGAGAGGGAGAAAGAATCATTTACATCAGTAGTGCTTGTCTGGAATTCCGCTGCAAAAATAGGCCTCGAATTCATACTTTAAGGTTATTTTGGATTAAAAAGATTAAAGGTGGTAAAATCATCAGTGCGTCTTGAGGATAAAAACTGATTTACTATCTTTATACATCTTTTGGTATGTTCCTTTTAAGCTTTAGGCTTCTAGAACAAAACATGAATGGATCATGCAAACCATAGTTTTAGTAAGTGTGCAGTCGAGACAAAAATGTATTTCTATGACAAGGTAATATCAAGCAATTCTCATTTATTTGTAATTTTTACCAAACAAACATAGAAATATCATTTGTATCTTCTCCAAAAAAATTAAAATCATTGATATAACCATGTCCTAGAGACAAGTATATAAATACATTGATTGAATCCATTTTAATCATCAGTAGAAATGAAACAGAAAAAGGGCGCCTGAAGCCACAGCGACGTATCATCGTGTCCCATCAGCTCTAAGAACTATGCATCACCAGCAGCCAATCAACACCTGGATGCACCGAGGCTCTTTGACTTTCAACAAAACTGGACTCCCGGTAATGTCCGCTAAATTGGGTGCCAACAGAAAAGCTGCAATTCGTCTCATTAAAAAAAGCTATTCGAGTACTGAGTGGTACTCCAGAAGCAAGTACTAACAGTTAAAGCAAGAGATCATTCATTTCATGTACACAAGAAGTACTATTATCAAAGTCATGCAAGATTAAATTAACTTCTGACATCAAAACTTGCAGTTGGTTGGAAACTATAAAAAAAGGATGCCAATGCACTCTCTTTACAACATCAGGTTAAGGCAACGGAGTTAAATTCCTTTTATATTTGTTTGTAATTGTGTGTGTGTGTGTCTTGTTTAAAATTAACTTTGAAGTGGAATTAAAGCTGCTCTACATCATGTATCCACCATTACTCATTCTGTTTAAGTTAAAAAAAAAAAAAAGCCCCCCCCGTCATAAATCCTGGGTGTCTCCTTAAACCGCCCAAAATTATACATTTCACATTCTGCAAAAAGGTAGTAAAAAAACAAGTCAACATCGAAGGGAACTCGATACAGCTTTTTGCACAGTGCAACCACAGAACTGGAAAAAGCCCTCACAATCTGTACATATGGCATGGCTTTCTCTAGCACAGAACTGGAAGGAGAGGAAAAAAAAAAAAAAAAAGTGCAGAGGGGAGAGTTAAGTCTCTAGAAAGTCAACACAGTCTAGTCAGATAAAGACAGATACACACTCAGAGTGATAAAAGCAGGGGGACAATACTTAATAGTGCTACTGCTTTATGGGATAATCCCCCCCACTCCCTTACTTCACATTACACTGCCTCCTGGTGGTTCATATCGGTTACTGTGCTCTACAGTCCTCAGTGTGAATCCAAATTTCATAATTAAGCGTCTTCTTTGAAGAAAAGATCCGATCCATAACTGATAAATTAGTTACGTTTCAGCTGTCAAGTGTATTCTGGATTGATAGAGTTTTAAGAAAATCTGGCGAACTACACTGCTGTAGTGTCTCGCTATGACTCTCCACACTGCTCTGAAGCTCAGACAGGAGTGTATTTAGCCAGATTGTGGCAAAACATTGAACATACAAACACACGGACGGACAGTTAAGAGGTGGATTACGCTGCAGGGATGGTTGTGGAGTAAGTTCCTATGACCAAATACTTTTTTGTTTTTAAGAAACAACCTGATAACAGCTGCCGTCCTTCATAAAGGAGCGTTTAGAAACACACAGCCTACAGGCAGTGAGTGTTCGTACTGCAAGGATAGATGTTTTTGAGGTATTACTTTAAAAGGCTAGGCAAACCTATTTTAACACCCACATGTAATCTGTTTGTTGAAAGAGTTGTCGGTCATTTCTCATGTCCATACCGGCTCCGTGTGGTAATACTTTCTCACAGCGACGACAATGTAAAAAAGGTACAAAACGCATTTTTCTGAGCAAAAGTAATTCAGCAGTCTGAGATTCGCCAAATCAGGACTTTGTCCCGGCAGTCACACGTAGGTTTATTTTCAGGGTTTTGTCATGGCCGACTGCCAGGGCGTAGTCCTCACACCTCAGCCAGAGAACGAAGGAAAATACAAAGACACAATTTTGTCTTCTAAAGGCCATCGCTCTGTAAAATCATTTCAGTTATTGATAGCGGGGCAGAAGCAAGGCAAACAAAAGAAAGTGCAATATTCTGGGGAGCAAAACGGTTTCCTTCTCTTGTAACTTTTACTTTGATATTACAAAAAAATAAAACCTGTTTTGTATTTTCCTGTGGACGGGGGGGAGAAACAAAAAGAAGAAAAAAACCTTTGATGCCATAAAAGATAATTACATGAACATGAACCTCCACCTCCCTCAGGAACTCCACTCTGGTTGCAGTTTGAAGCAAATAGTGCAAATTAGTTAAGATTTCAGTCCACAGGACCACAGCTCATCACTATATTTAGCCAAGCAGGTGATAGCCACTGCTTTTATTCTTTTTGTTTCGGTAACTAAAGAACTGTTAATGTATCTCAGAAAAGAAACTCTGTACCTGGTAATTATTGCATGTGACATGTGTTACAATCATTTGCATATGCTTCTTCTGGAGCTGTGTGACTTCATGTTTCCCTTCGGACCTTTTTCTTCTGGGAGGCCTTCGGAGGATCCGCGGTCTGCTCGGACTTCTCTGCAAGTAGAGTCAAAAGGAAAAATAAAGAGAGTTGTATTTACAACCATCTCATTGTTACTGTTGGAACATGCGTGTCCTCTTTGTGACTCGCCCCCTCACTGCGAGTGCATATAAAAGTGTGAGCCACCTACTCTGAGAGGACAATGTGCTGGGATTCTGCTTTTTGGCGGCCATGACAGGAGGCTCTTGGTGTTTGGGTTTTGCGTTGACCGGGGTCACTGTGCTCACAGTCTACAATCAAAGAACCGCAATGACATTACAAAACAGAGAAGCCTACATTTAATGTGAATATATACACAATTAAATAGAATAAATATTTATACTTTAGTGCAAGATATTAATCTGACAGCTTGATGTTTTTTTTTTTTTTTTCTTGCCTGAGCCTCAGATGCAGCCTCCTCTTCTGTTTTCTTCTTCTTTTTCCTCTTCTTCTTGGATTTGTCTGCTCCACCGGAAGGATCGTCGGTGTCCTTCTCATCCTCCGATACCTGCCACGACAGAAACAGACATGAACAAGTTCTGGTAACAGTGATGTCCGTGCTAGAAAGAAGAGGTACTTTGTGAGATGGAAACAACAAGAATATATGAATCACCATAGAGGATCAAAGGCATTATGTTGCCTGTGCCAAAATAAATAAACAAGGCAATAAAATCCAGAATATAAAAAGCCAAATTTATTGTTATAAGGACTTTTAGGCCTTGCAAAGGGATCATTTAGAAAAGTCTAACAGACGTGATAAGCCACGTGGGTGAGTGTCAGTGATACCTTGTTGGGGACAGGCTGTTCCTTTAGCGGAGCCGCTGGTGTCACCAACACAGGGGGCTCCTCGTAGTTTCCCCAGTGCTCCTCTGGGGCATTCCAGTCAGAGCTGGGGTCCCCCGTTGCCATCCCATCTAAGATCATCCACATCATCAGGATGGCAGTGACATACAACATCACAAATTCAAAAGCGTACTTTTGCGCATTGGATTTAATTTCAAAACTACACTTCATCTCACAAAACCATCGGAACATTTAGACTTTTCTTTGTTTATAATCTGCTGTTATGCAGAAGGCTGCGTTGGAGTGGCTTGCTGAAATACTCACTGAATCCAGACCATTCATCATCAACATTAGGAGGCCTCGCCCACTGCAGCTCCATGGAGTTTGATATCGGGTCTAAGAAGACAGCCAGACAGTGAAAGGGGAAAAAAAAAACAAAAAAAACTTATTTAGTCATTGTTTAGAAAAAAAAAAAAAATGGAAGCATTTATAAAAGCTGCATCCTGGAGGTAGAGTGTGGTGTGACAGGGTGATAAAGCCGACTGTTGATCACAACACCAACCTGTGGTGTTTAGTCCCAGCATGGAGAAGGTCACAGGGTTGAGGTCAGTCTTTATCCGGCCATCAATGCCACTCCACGCTGCTGGTGAGAACGTACAGAAACACACATCCTGATTATATATGGTTGCAATGCTGTTCTGGCAGACAAACAGCAGAGCTCAGATTTTTTAAAGACTGTTTTCTACACTCAAAGAATCAATGGAATAAAACGCTGTGTGCTGTCCGTCACTCAATTAAAAGTATAAAAACGCCTTCCACAGTCAAACATATTCCATCGCTGTAAAAACAAGGCCTTATTTAGAGTTTTATCACAGATTATTATTATTTCCCGATGCCCATTTTCAGTGCTTTCATATAACAGCTGCAATGCTTTGCTCCGTTTACAGTAAATCACTCTACACTTTTCCAGAAAGCAATACCTGAGGTTATGTCACCTTAGAAAAATAAGCACATTGTAATATTGTGTTGTGGGTGTCTTTGTTGAGCTAGCAGTTGATTTCAACTTAAGAGTTTCAATGATTCCACCTCCTGCGTACACAGCCCCTTCACAAATGTATCTTACAATACCACTTCTGTCCAGCAGATGGCTTAGCTGGATGTAGTTTTTAAAATTACTTTGATTTCAGTGAAATTCAATCTTATTTAGATTTTTTTTCTTTCTTTTTTTTATATAAAAATGTTAGCAGTCAAACTGGCCGTGTTTAATTGGATGAAAAGGATAAATTATAGGATGAAAATCTCTGATCATCCTGCTGCTCATTTAAATAATTCTGGGACTGATCAATCCCCCTGTTCAATCGTTAGACTCTGGATACTCTATATTCGCTGTGTAAAAAAAGGTTCATCCTGGTCCAGGTAGTACCTTGTGTCTCCTGTCCCCAGGACTGAGGTTTCGGTGGGGCCCTGTAATGGGTAGCAGTGGGGACGGCACTCCACTTGTTTCCCTCCATAGCACCCATCTGACGTGACGCATCAGTCCAACCTCCACCGTTGACTGAAGGCTCCTCTCTCCTGCTGGAGGACACTGTGGGGACACACATTGAGGGAGGATAGGGAGTCAGACTGGAAGCTTTCTTTAGTCTAGCAGCTTCTGTATTTTAGAGCTCAGACCAAAATAAAACCATTGTATACACAGGCTTGTTCAGTTACCAAACCCAGGAAGACAGCTTCACGTATATCCTACATCTCATCTTAATATTAGACAAAGCTTTGCTGGGGAAACTAAAGAAAACAAAATCAAGACAAAAGAGGGAGCCGTTGAATCGTTTCCCCATCTCAGTCACACAAAGTAACGGTTTGTCTTTGTCTTTACCCGCTCCACTAGGTGTCTCCCTCTTTCCAGCAGCTCTTGACTGCAAGGACTCTGAAACAAAGTGTGGGAAAACAATAAGCTTGAGAAACTTTCAATAATACAAGATAATTCTCATTTATGCATGAGTGAACTGATCCCATCAAGCCTCTCCATGCAGTAGAAGCTTAGCCCTGGCAACACCGTATGCTAAATAAATGTCCACATCACACTGATGAATACCATGGTTTCCTCTGTTCTTCTTGGTGTTGGCAGGTGCTGCGGCCGTGGGGGACTCTGCATTGCTCTTGGGAGCCTCCACCCCTCCTGGGCTTCCAGAGTCCTCGGGGCCCCTGTCCTTCCTGCGCTGCTGCTTCTTCTCTCGGTTACTGACTTTGGTCTCCCATGCACCTGGTGGACAGAAAAAACAACAACAACATAAAATCGTTAGGCGACTTGCCATGTGCACAACAATGATAAAGAAGTATTTTAGGTCATTGACTCTGAATGAAATTTGGTGGACTATTTAACTAAGAGGCTGGCTACGACAGGAAAAAAGGTTGTGATTACTGACATCAGGAGGGGTGTGTACTTGGTGAAACAGTTAAAAATTAGACATTGTTATGAAATTTCCCTTTTGACAGTTGAATCTTACCATCATCGGGTTCCTTCCCATCATTTGTAGACGCATGCTGGACTGGTTTCACATTTGCCTTGGTTTTCTTCTTGTTCTTTTTCAGCTGCACTGGGGCCTGTATCTCATGCACCTGTGGATGGAGAGAAACCACAGTTATACTGAAAAAAGGTACGGCGGTTACAAAAAAAACACTTAATGTTGGCAGCAGCTGCTCAAACGTACCTTCTCGGTTTTGATCTGTGGGGCTGGCTTGGAAACAACCTCTGTCACTTTAACTGCATCTTGAGCTGCTGCCACTGGTTGTCCATTGGATTGAGTGTTCTGGGGGGAAATAAGAGTTAAATTTAGTTCCACACAGCTTTAATTAGCAGAATAATCTAACTCCCTTTTAATTTCAAGATGAATCTGAATTCTAAATGTGTTGTATATACGCTATATTTAAACCATTTAAGGTTTTTACTACTTGTGTTACTAAAACGACACAGGACACATTTGATGGCAGTTAACTTGTAATCTGGGTAACTGGTTACACCTGACACCTGGCTGTGGTCTGAATATCTAACGCACCGTTAGTTTTGCACTCATGTTTCAGCGATAGTGACGACTACAGCTTGATAAGCGGTTAACCGTGTTCGCAGATGTGTGATAACCGTGACATTTCCCACAGTTTAAGTAGGCTACAGTTCATTCATCAGACTTCAGGTGTCGGCCTACGATAAGGCCTTAACTCGCTAGCATAAACCATCATTAGCTAATGGCCCGTCATTAGGATACGTTTACACACAGCTAGCGTTAGCTAGATAGATAGCATCCACTTCTCAGCAAGAAGCCGTGATTCATTGTATAATTAGCTAACGTTAACTGATATATTTTTTATCAATATGGACGTGATTATCCTTAGGTAACGTTAGCTTGTTATTGTTTATTAAACAAAGTGGGCTGTAACGCTAATGTGTATGAGGCAGCAAAGCTGGCTACCTAACATTACACATAACTTTTTTGATACAATGAGGATACAAAGGGTATATATATATTTTTTAATGTTAACTGAATAAACACTTCTGTTAAGCGTTAAGACGAAGTTAATTGTTTTTTTCACACGTCAATGAATAGACGCACTTGTTTTGATTAGCCGTGATTGTACGCAACTGGGTCACGGTACCTTCTCAAGCAGTTTCTTTTTGTTCTTCTTCTTTTGTTCTTCTGGTTTGGCAGTTTGAGCAAAATTAGCCTCCTTGACGGGCTCACTGTTGCCTCGGATGCCCGGGGAACCCCGCTTTTTCCCGGCGAACAGACAGCCACAGACGGCGGCCCAGGACAGACCGAGCAGCAGCAGCAGACCCGACGCGGCCGTGGACAGGATGACCCACGACGGGTACACGTCAGGTTTCAGACCAAAATCCACCCCGAATTGATCCCGGACATATCCTTGTCCCGAAGACAAGAGCTCCTTCAAATGGCTGGAAAGCAGCTCGGCTTTTTCTAGCGCAAAACCTCGCAGGTCCCGAGCCATCTTTCCCCAAATCGCGATAACACTAAGCTAACGCTAACTGTTAGCTATCATTGGCAGCAGCGTCCGTATGCTAACGGAGGAGTGGCTAATCGGATCTGACTGCTGGGAGAATCACAACAAAACTAGAATTCACAGCAGTCTGTAAACCACTGATTTCTTCTTACAGATTGAAAGTCCACAATATCAGCCAGTTTCGTGGATTAAACCAGACCTAAACCGTATAATCACACCGTGTTTATAACTGACATAAGTCACCAACGTTTGTAAATAAAGCTGCTGCATGATGCAATAATTCATCACAAATACTATTTAATTACGATAAAAACATTTTTAATGTACATACAAAATGACAAAACAACCCATTGCCAGAACTGCAGACTTGATAAAATATATTGTAGATATTAAAGTGGCAATCCTTAAGATTTCAGTCTTGCTTGATTTAAAAATTATATTTGAGATTTTTCTATTTGTTGTGTGTGTACAATACAATTAAACAGAACAGCATTTTTCAATCACCATTTTGTGTATAGCATAGACATGTATTTAAATAATCTTTGAGATTGCCACTTCAAATATCCAATTGGGTACATCAGAATCAAGATATTTATATTTAACCAAAACTTGTGTTTTATGTTATTTACATATCTGCATTGTAATGGTAAAAAGAAAAACAGCCATGAGAAGGGCTTGAAGGATCCATTTGTTTACTCCGTTTCACTTTGCAAACTGTATTGGCTGCTAATTAAGTCCAGGTTTAGTTCTCAATCCCTTTAAAAGCTTTAACCTGTCATCCATTCATTTGTCCATTGTAATACTGTGATAGTATTGAAAAGAGACTTTTGACAGTAACTGCTCAAAGTAAATGAATAGATATAAATATTGCGCAACAGTATGTCGTCTCCATTTCAGAAGTCTGCATCCAGAGTGAATTCACAGTCTTCCATGCTCGACATCACCCCAAATCTCTGATACTCTGCTACTCGTTTCTCAAAGAAGTTGGTTTTCCCCTCGAGTGAAATGGACTCCATGAAGTCAAATGGATTTTCCGCTTGGTATACCTTTGATTAGAGAAGAAAAGATTACTTACATTTCACACCATTACAAACGGCAAACATAAAATACAATTCATTAACACAACTATTATTTAAGTTATTAAATTACATTTATTTTGTCAGAAATGATGTAAAGCATTTGTCATTATGGTCATTTTTGCAAAGCTCTAGATTTTATAGTGGGACTTCAATTCTTCTCAACCCAGCAGTCTTCTGCGTTAACATAACAGCTACCGCAGTATAAAGGGGTTCAATGAGTAATGACCATTCTGCTTTCATTATTTCTATTATATGATAATTACCTTTGCCAGTCCGAGGTCAGCGAGAAGCCGGTCGGCCACAAACTCGATGTACTGCTTCATCAGACAACAGTTGATTCCTATGAGATCCACTGGCAAGGCCTCTGTCAAAAACTCCTGCAACAACGAACAAGACGTGTTTGTGAACAGAACTGGTGGGAGTTATCAAGATTTTGGTCTATTGCAATGGGAGTCGATGTAAACAAAGTAAAATAACCATTCAAAAATGTATAATGTGTAGAGTTAAGCATATTCCCTCCAACATTAGCTCACCTGCTCAATGCTAACAGCTTTGGTGATGATGTCCTTCACCCTGTCCTCTGATGGTTTATACACCAGGTAGCTGAACAGCAGGCAGGCAAAGGTACAGTGCAGGCCCTAGGAAACACATCAATATACATGTCAGAGTTAAAAAAAAAAAAACACAGCCTAACCTCTACACAGGTGTATCAAACAAAAGTGTCCCAACATAATAGCTACCTTAGTGTTATGCAAGAGCAATGAGTTTCTATATATGGTGTATTATCTAATGTGCTACAGGATGTCATGGATAACTTAAACTTCCCCCGTGAACTGGCTCTGATTTCTGATTTGTAGCCAATTTAAGTCCTAATCCCCGTTTTGCACACCACTGTAATTTATTCCAGCTGCAGTCAAAACTGTTGGTCCTTTTGACAGATTAAACTACGTGTTTTTTTTTGTTTGTTTGTGAATTCATCTCACCTCATCCCTGCTAATCAGCTCGTTGGAGTAGGTAAGGCCGGGCATTAATCCTCTCTTCTTGAGCCAATAGATGGCAGCGAATGAGCCAGAGAAGAAGATGCCCTCCACTGCCGCAAAAGCCACAATCCGCTCCCCTGAGGGCAAAAAGTGTCAAAACGACTATTAGTAACAGATGATGGAAGGCTCCTCTGGGTGAGAGTTTCCCATCATTATGTGATTTCAAATATGTTTGGATGTTGTATCTCTGCACATGTTCTTTTGGTTACTATCACTTCAGGTAATTGGCACAGGGGTGTGGTTTCACTTTATGAATCTGCTCACTTGGATGGTGGGATACAGACAGAGATGGTGAGCTAGGCTCCGATATTTTCTGTTGACCGTCCAGTACAGTTACTGCTTATAATTCCTTTTGTTTTAAGAATTGACATAAAACGCATCTGGACTTGGTATGGATTGTTTGAACGCTGCACACAGTTAAGAGACTACTTAGCCTCTTAAGAGGTTTTTCCATTTATAGTAGTAGCTACAATCTTCCTCACCAAATGTGGATTTGCTGTCATTTATCCACTGGAGGGCCCAGTCTGCTTTTCGTCTCACACAAGGCATCGTCTGAATGGCATTGAATAAATAGTCCCTGAAACACACAATTAATACAAAATGACTCTTTAGCTATAAACGCATATCACCAGCATAACAAATACAGTGGCCTGACTAGGAAAAGTACTGACTCTTGCCTTTTTGTTTTATTGAGACCACACAGTGAATTGAATTTGAACGTGTAAAACAAAATACATATTGTAAAACAATAAAACATGGAGTTCAAATACTTTTTATGAATAGCCTGTTGATGAAGTGGCCATGAAATTGTTGCCTTCCTCGTCTGTAGGTACATTGAATCTTCATCAAATTAGTTATATAGGGAGAACTTGTCCGAGTATGGTTCTGCACTTGCTCTAAAGGCACCGAGGAACGCAATCTTTACCATCTAACCAGTGCCACTGAGCATCAGAAGGGAGGACTTGACCAAAGAGAGAAGAAAAACTAACCTCTCTTTCAGTTCCCTGATATAAGTGTTGATAAGCATGCTGTACATCTCTGAATGAACAGTTTCTATGAGGATCTGAAAACTGTAGAACGAGCGAGCTTCAGGGACCTGAACCTCCTGGTAGAACCTCTGCACCTGTCAGATGAGACGGAAACATCAATACGAAAAAAGACTTTTACCCCGGCACATTATTCTATTATAAACCATCATCTGATCTCAATCCATTAGTGGCTGTGTTCCTTCTCTTTTATTGCACACAATCTCCAAAAACATCTGTTACAGCCGAGTGAAATCCCTCACCAGGTTCTCATTGACGATGCCGTCACTTGCAGCAAAGAAGGCTAGGACATGGGAGATGAAGTGTTTTTCCTCAGGTTTCAAACCATCCCAGTGTGGCAAGTCTTTGGTCAGATCAACCTGAAAGAGAACATCAACAGTACACAGGCCTGTCTCATAGATTGTTCAGGTTGGTGAGGTGGATGACTCCGTGTTTATTTTAGTTTTTGTGGAGGGCAGCAACATGTATAGTACTTTTGTGGGAATAATCTTTTTTGTTACTTCATTAGTATTTATTTGACCTCAAATAGAATGAAACTGTTAAGTTAAGTGTTTTTGTGTTGTGTTCTCATCGAGGTACATTTGGACAGTAAAACTTCCCCTTTAAACTAACTGAATACACACTAAAATGACCATATTTCCTGGTGCAGAATAGCTGGTACCCACCTCCTCCACCGTCCAGAACGAGGCCTGTGCCTGCTTGTACATCTTCCAGATCTTGGGGTACTGGATGGGGAACACGACGAACCGTCTGGGGTTCTCCCGGAGCAGAGGTTCCTCCTCTTTCTCGGACACATTTGGGGAGTCTGGGTCTTTCTACAAAGAGCCACAACACAGTATACGTAAACACCATTTCACCTCACATCATTGGTATTTTATCATGTGTCTCAACGGATTTTTTCCTTCAATTGTATTAAAAAGAAAACATCCAAAACAAAGGACATGCCAAATATAAGTTCGTTTTTATTTATTTAGAGAACTAACGTTAATTATAATTGCTAGCGTTTCTATTTCGTCACTTTATATCAACTGCTTAACCCAATTTAACATCATTATTATTGTAACAGACTCTCATGTTTGTTGTTCGGGTGTTGACTGTTGATATGTCCCTTGAGGGTTGCCGTAGCAAAGGGGCAACTCTCGCCTCGGGCTTAAGAAGAAACAATAAAGAGAGTAGCCGTGGGCTGGTACACAATCTAATCTCCCGACTCCAGTTCTTACGGTATGATAAGTGCAATACACGAACCCAAGACGCTCGGTTACATTATTATTATTTTTTTTCCTCAACTGTGTCACTGACAGTTAGGCTAGCTAGCTTAACGTCACGCGAGCAGACAAGGCCACATTTAAAACAGCTCAAATGTTTATTTATCTGTACTAACTTAAAACTCATGTAACGTTAAGTTAGTTAAGTCTTTACCTTAAAGCTAACATGCCTCCATGTAAGTTAACTCGTTATGTCGCCAGACGTTACGTATCCTCTACAATCCACAGTAACGTTAGTGTACTGAAGCTGCTTACCGACTCTTGAAGGTCATCAGATCGTAAATCTAAATTGATCACGTCCATTTCCTGAGAAGTCTTAAGTCATTCGGTGTTGAGAATTCGTTTCTTCCGGCTTGTAGTCCGTCTCATGTCATTGAGTGTGTGAGTGTAGCTTTGTTGGTTAAACCCTTTAAACCACACAGGAGGTGCAGCGCCTCTAGTGCTCATAAACAAGGCCTGCTATATTACAAAACCTCATAATCTAACGTTATAGTAAAATGGTATAAATCCCCCTCTTGACTAAGCTACACTCTCCTAACACCCACTCACTTCCCTTCTACTCATCATACTGCAGTCTTTGTCATGAACACAAGGAGTAAAACAAGAAAATACAGCCAGAAGTTCAGACTGAAATCCTTTTATTGGACAGGAATGCAATTTGACATATTTAATACAATTGGCATGCTTATTATAAACACGGAGGAACTATTGCATATAATCCCTTGTATTTTCAATGACAGCTTAACCATTGTATGAATTCTGTGCCGGATTTCAATGTGTGTTAACCAATAAAAATCCGATCGCTACGATGGTATGTTGTGTATCCCCAACCGGAACACGTCATTTGTGCAGACCCATGTGGGTGGCATGCTCTTCAGCATAAAGACCTGATGAAAGGCCATTGGCGGATCATCGTCTACCTGTTGCAGAAAAAGTATCCGTTAGCACAATGATTACTTAAATTGTGATGTAAGCTAAAGCAGAAATGTACTATACATACATCACACAGGGTTTATTTACAAAAATGATTTTATCATACATGCAATATTCAAAGTAAAAATGTTTTGAGACAATTAGCAATGACAGCCAGTTGATAACCAGACTGAGTTTGTGCTAAAAGGTTCCAGCTTACCTTCAACTGTCCAAACACCATGATGAAGATAGAACTGTCCATAGTGGGTTGGAAGTCTTGTTCTGTGATAATGTGCTTAATAGACTTAAATGGCAAACTCTGTGGATTGGAAACAATAGCATTTATTAATAAAATTGTACCATCTCTCTCACACACACACACACACACACACACACACACACACACACACACACACAC